ACAACTTTTTCTGCTCGATCTGTCTCCTGCAAGGAAACACTTATTTCTAAACTTTCTGAAATGTTGTTTTTTCACTTTGTCATTTGAAAGCAACTACAAAGACTGAGTGCTGCTTATTTGCCAAAATAGATAAATGTGAAAAGGGAACATTTTCATGCTAGAGCATGCTGGTTCCAGCGGTTGGGGAAAGGTAATTTTACAGCAAACAAAATTTCTTAGAAAACACTTAAAAAATATGTTGGGCTGTCTAAAATAGGCTCCTCTGGTGTCTTGGTAAGTGCATTGAGATACATTAGAGCTTTTATGCAGGGTGGCCCAAAAAAAGGGAACTCATCTAAACTGCTGCTTCAACTTAACATCTGTTTTAATGAACATCACTCCACGACAATGTTCAGGAATGGTTGAAAACATGCAAAGACAAATGGAATATGTAATAAACAATGGTGGAAAAAATGTAGAGCACATCGTTTCAAGATAAAGTAAGTTTGTACAGCTAATAAATAACAATTAATTGCCATGAAATTATGAGTACCTTTTTTTGGCCACCCTGTACATCGACAGTGAAAAAGAGTAATGAACCGGCAATCGATAATTTGAAGGTTTTGTACTGAACTGGTTCATCAATCAGCCAATAAGTCCTCTACATTGTTGCATACTATATGAAATACGAAGAGTCACTCTCAGAAATGCTCACACTTAAGCTGATAGCTCATCGTCCTGTAAGAAATTCCGTAGCGCTAAGAGGGTTTAGAATTTAAATCAGACTAAAAGTGGAAATAATAAATATATGAAATCAGTTGATACATCTGCATCTTGAGGTTATCTGGTGCAGGTAATTGGCATGACATGATTGTTGTAATATGTTGACAGTCGGTGGGCATTGAAGGGAAGTAGTGAGGAGCACACAGTTCTGCCGTTGGTCTCAGACAACATAGGAACTAACAGCACTGACGACGCTGCGGTTATACAAGGGCAGTTTATCAGGTAAGATGTTAAAAATATCAACCATAAAATAATTTATGTATGTCGTACTTTAATAGTGATGTCAAAACTGAATCCCAAGCCAATAAAACTTTGGAAAAGTTTTGATTTCAAGATTCGACCGGTGAGTTTCAAGATTCAAAACTAACACTGATGAAACCCGTAAATTATACTCTAAACTGCAACAGGCACAGTAACAACTACTAATAAAATAACGATGCATGTACAATATGTGAAAAATATATTGATACCTGTTGGTTTAAGCTTGTTAGGTAAGCCTACAAACTTCATACATAAATAAATATTAACCACTGAATTCTTAAATTGATCTATTATTCATATTATTATGTTGGTATCAGGTTTATAATTTATATCAGTTTTAATTACATAGTAAATATTTTATTAAGACCTGTATTTTTTGCCTGGCAAGTAAAAAGTTTCCTGTTTAGGATTTGAGATTCGAGATTGGAAATCTTGGGTTTATACATCACTAGTTCATACAATTGGTTTAATCTTCTAGAAATGCAATTCTTCGCTTAGTAGATTAATGAATCATATGTACCTCGTCTTTTCTTTTCAAAAATAAAAATAAAACTTCTTCCTTTTCAATTTAGCTGTGAACTCTTCTTAAAGTATCATCTATCTTTAGTACCACACAGCTTACATCGTAAACAATAAAAAAGTTTAAGGTCCATTTCATCTCAAAGAATGTTTACATTGAATATTCTTTTCATTGCTGATTGGATAAGTCTTCACATAAGCCATTGAAAAACTGGAGTGGACCAAAATTTAGCATACTGAAACAGAATTTAAAACAGTCAATCCTAATCACAATGTTAATATAATTTTAATCATAATATAATGTAAAAAGTCATCTAAGAAAGAGATCTAGACAGTTGATGGCTTAATAAATGTTTACACACCATTAACACTTAATATTTCGTCCATCCAAGGCAAATGAATATTCTGCTTCAAGTCTTGAAGAAGTGAAGTATCAAGTAAATTGAGTTATGGACTTTTTGTCTGCCATTTACTGTCTGAAACTGTTTAATATTTGGATATTAAATGTTTCAGATTGTATCTAACGGTTTGAGAATTTATTTTTAACTTCTAAAAGGATAAGCATATACATATTAAGAAGAATGAATAACTATGCGCATCTATGTTAAAAATAAGAATGAACGCTGAACAGAGAATAGACTTTGCCAGTAATAACATCGTAAAACGATACGTACCTAAAGATTTCCTCACACCTGCCTGTGCACATAAGAGGATATGTAATAATTAGCATGATGTTATCTTGAATAAAGATTTGTTAAAAGTTTAATTTCAATTTCATCATTTGTTTCTAGATGGATCACAGGAAGTGCTGATCACATTGTTATTCTGATTCTTCTCCTTGCACTCACAGTGAAGTTCATATTCTTTGAAGACAAGGAAGAACTTACAGAACAATTCCTAATGTCCTCCGCCACAGCTGCCTTGCAGGAACGCCACCATGAACGCAAGTTTTCAACTTTTATTAATTACAAATTGATGCGGTAAAACGAAAGTATGATTACTATTGATTCTCATTACCCCAAAATAATTAGGAGGGAATCCATCTCATTGTCAGGTATATCGGTTGTTATAATCATTTGATCATCACAGTATGTAGCCTCAAAGAGGAGATATATGGACTTATCACGATCAATAGCTTTATTGCTTGTAAGTTTTTAAGTCAGTATGTAAAGTTCTAAGTTCTCCCAAAAGAATTTTGAAGTAAATATTTTCAATGTTTTGATAGACAGACTAATAGTCGATCAAAAAAGCTTATGACAAGGTTTGTGATGTTTATAAGTGATTAACTGACATCTGTAATATGGATGTGAGCTTAGAGAAGCTGGTGATTGATCTCATCACAGTATATTCTTCAGATGTTGAAGATAGCTTCTTTGTTGAGCTTGTACAGTTTAAATCCTGTATTGAAAGTTGAAAGTGTCAATGCAAGACTTAAAAAAAAGGAGAAACCTCCCAGCTGAGATGAGAGCCAAAACTGATATTTAACTCAAACTTGAAGCCATATATCCGATTAAAAGCCTCCACGTGGTATTCACCGAGAGCTGATTGACTGTTTGATGAATAATTATCTTACATTACCCGCAGCTGAGGTGCTAAACCATGTACTGTAAACCATCACTATACTTCTGTAATAATTTTACATTCCGAGAATGGTAACAGCTTTTTTCTCCGTAGGGAGTGTCGAGTCAACTCTCCGCCACAGATATTCACAGATGACGTCCCTAGAGAGAGACAGTGGAGTAGACGAAGGCTGGATCGAGGTCGGTCTCACTTCCAAGAACAGCGTCAGTGTCCAAACCAACGCTTTGATACCCAGTCACAGAGGCAGTCAAACGGAGGCGGCGAACGAACGATCCAATGTCATCACAGAGAACAAACCTGTGCAAACCGAGAATGTAGAAAATTCCAACAACGAGGTTATGAGAGAAGACAAGTCTGTACAGACTGGTGTCGAGGAAGACGAGTACGAGAAACATCCGAGACCAGTGGACGAATGTGTTGCTCTGTACAAACAAAAGGTGAACAAGAAGTATAGTTTTTAAATTTTATTTTATTTTTGTTTGTATGTCAATGGTCTCAGGCCTAAATGTAGGCCTAATCTTGGTTTTAATAACTTATTTCACTAAAAAGCCATATAATCAATACAAACTAACAACATCAATCATGCAGTGCAGACATTGAACAATTACCACATGGAAAAACGATTAGGGATAATAACTTACCTTCAACAAAAATTATCTTTTACAAAAGAGGTAAACATAAACTAAGTCGGTAGACAACAGCTGATTAGCAACAATACGAAATACCCATTTGTGACACAGCTTATAACTATAGCCAATGGATTTGCCAAGGCTTAAATCTTTTGCTTTATTGCTGTATAAAGGTTATTGCAATTTAATTGTTTTAGTGACATGCTAAGAAATGGTTGGGCTTTGGAAATGGGAAAAATGTGTTGTCGACACATAGCACTTCTTGGGTTATTTAATTATAACTATGAAGTTTCCTACATTTGAGGATCCACCTTACCAACACTGTTGTTTTTAGGGTTCCGCAGAAGTACTGAGTGATTCAGAGGTACGTGCTCTAGTCAAGACCGGCTACATTCCCACGTATCAGATTGAGAAGGCAGTCAACAACCCCGAGAGAGGCGTTGGCATCAGACGACAGATCGTTGGTATCGCAGGAGACTTTGCTCATGCGCTGGACGAACTGCCCTACCGTGATTACGACTACAACAAGGTGGGCAGCTGGATTTACTGAATTTTAAAATTTTGTATTCAATTGTATACAATTGTATTGATAACTAAGTCATCAACATTGAGGTTTTCTTTCTTGAACTTCCATTTGAAACATCACTGTTGAGGAGTGTTTAAATATTCTTGATTCAAATGGCACCATGCATTTTGGAAAAAAGTTTGAGGTAAATTATCAATAAGAGTTGAAGTCTTTATTGTTTCAGGAACAAGGTTCAAGGTTAAAAAGTTGATAGTTTCAAAGGTTTTGAGGGAAGAGGAGTTAATGGTTTTGAGTTTGAGAATGCTTCTTTTTGTTCTAGTTTAGCTAAAACAGTAAAAAAAACGCATTTGTCTTCTGTGCTACAAATATCACATCACACCATTTAACACTCGCTCTGCATTTTTAGTCTTAAACTACTTTGTCAAAAGTATGTGTATGAGTATAGTAGTAAGTAATAAGTCTCTCAAAGTATGTACAGAATGTTAATAGGCTAAAACTGATACATTTCTAGTTGCCACCTATTATCTCATTGTACTCTAGGTGCTGGGAGCCTGTTGTGAGAACGTGATAGGCTATGTGCCAGTCCCAGTGGGGGTGGCTGGGCCACTACTGCTAGATGGCAGCTTGGTGTATGTTCCCATGGCCACAACAGAGGGTTGTCTAGTTGCCTCCACCAATCGTGGGGCTCGAGCACTACTCAAGTGTGGCGTGCGCAGTCGCGTGGTCGCTGACGGGATGACTAGAGGTCCTGTTGTACGATTCCCCTCCATGACTCGTGCTAGGTAAGTCGTTCTGTTAGATTTTATTCTAATTCATTATTTTCAATTTTAAAGTAATAGTTGTCATGCTTAATAGGTTACCCATTATTCAGTATTATTGCAGTTTCTAGTATTAGAACTGGGTTCTTAAGGTTTAATGCTGTGAAGCAATCACTAAATATTTGAGTGCAGTTTGTTCACACACTTGTTTTATTAAAAATTCACTAAGTAAGTTTTGATGCGACAACGGTAAACAAAACAGCTAAAGTACAACTTGAAATTAAATACGTATGACAATAAATTATAAAAATAACTAATTAAACACAGTTTGGTTCAGTTTAGGTATCAAAAATAATCAGCTCTCTTTGAAAAAAATCAAACAAATGGAATACACTATTTAATTAGTTACAATAAAAGGTTTAAATTACCTGTATCTGTCAAGTGATCCTGGTTCGCAGTTGGTTGACTACAGCTGTTTCATGTTAATATTAACACATCTTCAGGTCAAATTCGGACACGTACGGCGCCGGTAGAAGGTAGGTCACCTACCTATAGGTCTCTAACGGCGCTGTACGTGTCCGATGTTAATTACGCGCTTTTTTGTTTTGTGTTTTAACCAATCAGTGTTAAATGTTTCGTGTACGTGTATGTGTTATTTTTTTGGGAGCTTTAAACCTTATGACAACCATTCTATGGAATATATCAATGCATTGACGAATTTGACCTGAAGATGTGTTAATATTAACATGAAACAGCTGTAGTCAACCAACTACAAACCAGGATCACTTGACGGATACAGGTAATTTAAACCTTTTATTGTAAAAATCAGTGATCCAGAGGCTATACCATAAAAATGAAATTTAATTAGTTGTCAAACGCATCGCATACTGCCTTAGTTTAAACAAACTAGTTCTTATAATCTTGTTGGTAAATACATTTATTTTTTAAGTAAAAGAATATTAAAATTTCATCTAAAAAGTGAGCAATGGCTTTTGTCAAACACAGAGCATTCATACCTGTTGTAACATGTCGTGTTGTGACAGTGAGGCGATGGCATGGATGCAGACTCCAGCCAACTTCCAAGTGATGAAGGACAGTTTTGACTCGTCAAGTCGTTTCGCTCGACTGACCAAACTGCACATTCGCATTGCTGGGAGATTGTTGTTCGTCAGGTTTGTCGCCACTACCGGTGACGCAATGGGCATGAACATGTTGTCTAAGGTAAGACGGTTGATTCTATTATTGGCTAATGAATTGTAATTGGAGATACAAGTTGTCCGGATTAAATTAACTTAATGTTGGGAAAGACAGAGCTATCACTCAACTGTTTGGGTACTCCAAAAGAACACTTGTAACAAAATAAATGTTAGTACTGAAATATATTTAAAGAAAAGCCAAAAGGCTGATTAGGATAATTTTTTAAAATTGAATAGAGTTTAGCCAGCGAACTGAGAAGACAGTTTTGTGAGAAAGCCACAATGAAACTGACATTTCTCATTTACCTACTCTCTGAACAAGTCCTATCGAGTATTAGGACGAAATTTCAGTGTTATGTTTCGTGTATAGTATATGAGTCCCTGGACTCTAACTGTCTTTTACTTAGGTGTTTGTACTGAACTCTATTCCCTTTCCAAAGATTTCATTCTGAATTCAATCTTGCATTATTTTAAATTACCTTGCTCTGTCAAGTGATCTTGTGTTTGTACACTACTATAATTTTTGGAGAATCATAGTTTTCAAGTGTGACCAAACATCTGTAAAAACTGTCAAAAGGATATTCAGATTGAGCAAAGTCTCTATTAAAAGGGTTCAGAATATGATGTTTTACCATATTTGTAGATTATTTATTATTGTATTTAGTGATGTATTGTTAACAGGGAACAGAAGTCTCCCTGAAGACAGTTCAAGAGTATTTCCCAGATATGGAAGTTCTCAGTTTAAGTGGAAACTTTTGCTCTGATAAAAAACCTGCTGCTGTGAACTGGTAAGTATTTTATTTTGAGCTAGAAAAAATTTATTTAATAATGTCAGTTTCCTTTGATGACGACAGAGTTTTGTGATGTTTCAAATCACGTCTAAACTTTCAAAATTATCTCAAATATGATTTTGTTGTCTTCAGTTTAGAGTGATTATAAGTAACATATTAAGCATTGTTGTTGGAGTAGTAGGCTTACATGAATAGGAAAGGTTCCTTTACACTCGGAAGACAAAATTTGCCAGTAACGGTGAAATATCCTTACTGGTTTGTACTGTACAAGTTTTCATCCATTCATTCGTACTGTATAAGTTTTGTTTATTCTTGCTAGTAACATGTGGAAATAATACCCAGAAAAAAGTCTGTGTAAGACTAAATTACTTACATAATCCCGTCACAGCTCAACAAAAAAATTGTTTTTGAATGCTGTTGTAAGCCGTATGTAAAATTTGTGATATTTTTGCTGTCTTCCTATAACAGATATTTTTAAAGAAAGCTAATAATCCTGCATTTTCCATCAGCATTAATGGCCAAAGTCCGGGAACATGCCGGATCAGTGAGTGTCTACTGTCCATTGGTGTTTCATCTATTTTGACACGGTTGTCGCCCGAAGACCACCAAGGAATCTCTCCCATTCATGTTGGAATTCTATTTTAAGCCTTATCACTTTTTTGCCCTAAACTATATTTTATATGTCATTTTTAATTATTTTTTTAAGGATCGAAGGCAGAGGCAAGTCCGTGGTGTGTGAAGCCGTGGTACCGAGCAATATTGTGACATCTGTGCTGAAGACAACGGTCGCTGGGCTGATAGACGTTAATAACAACAAGAACCTGATAGGCTCAGCTGTGGCAGGCAGTATAGGTGGTTTCAACGCTCACGCAGCCAACATCGTAACAGCCATCTTCATAGCTACGGGACAGGTTAGTCGCTTGATTATAGTTTGTAGATGAAGAAGTGGCTTCTAGTGAGGTTTTTGCTTTATTTTTATCTTTCTCTATGTATTAGCGAATTTCTTTATAGGGCCGATTTACTTTTTCATTTTGATGTCCCCAGTGGTCAAAAACATGTTCGTTAAAATGTTTTTATTAATGCCCGTAAACGGGATAACTTGAGTAATTTTGGTCTGATTTTGATTAAATTTGGCATAAACGTGTTGGGCTGGATACACTTGAATGAGTTTGCGAACCAGCTAGATTGGGTCATGGGGACGGGGTTGTTTTAAATGTTAAATGTTGTGGAGTTTTGCAATTTTTCAAAAGACACTTTTTAAGTGCTTATCCTTAAAACAAAAATGTCCACTTTTCATCAAAACCATCAAGTGAAGCTTAAAACAAATAATTTTGTCCATTGAAGCATTATGGTAGATTTAAAGGTTACTGAAAAAATAAACTGTACATTTGAAATTCCAATGTTATTCTTATATAGAACAAGTAAACTGTTGTTGTTAGTCTGTTTATGGATATATTTTAATCAAGTTTGGCAAATGTATTTATTTTGTATTATATAAACAGTTGACAAAAAAACACTTTTTCCCACCCCGTTGCAGCTAACCTAAGTTCCTTGTTAAAACTTATGTTATTTGAAAAGGGAATAAATCCGACAAGTTTAAGGAACTAGTTTAGTCATAATACAATCAGACAAATGGGTATTCACATATTCTGCAGGTTTGTTGCAGGAATGTTCTGGGTTTAAAGTCCCTAAAGAGCCTTATAGTGTTCCTCTATATTTATATTCAATTAATATAGTAGTATAATTTCTATCATAGTTCAAAAACAGGAACAGCATAGCATCTTGTAAAGCAAGGCTCTACCCAGGCAAATGCTACACTCTCGAGACTGTTGCCATAGTAACACAAATTGTGTAAACATAAACATTGTGCAGACACTCCATTTGAATTAGTGCTACAGCTGACTCTGCAGACCACTTTTGTCTCGTCGTGGTCCAATCTTAAATCCAATCAATAAAGGAGTATTTCTGTATTCAATCGATTATATGAAATAGGCCTACAGCAGATATAGGCAAGTGCTTCCTGTGCGTCTACTGGGTTGCTATTTAATATCTATAGTAACCAAGTCATATGGAATTATTGTCTATAAAAACGATTCATAGTTTGTTCATAGTTCATAGTTTGCAATGAGTTCATTTCAGTTTGGCTTGGTTGATTGGTTGGTGTGTTGGACAGAAATCGGTAATTTATATGTCCGTAGCTCAGTTCAATAATTTTTTATCTGGAACTAGCTACATCTTTACATGGGAATGTAATGTCTAAATTGTATTGAAATTCAATGATTTTATTATGTAACGTTGGAGGTTAAGATTGTAATAAATCCTATAATCCTAGGCACAAGGGCCTTGGTTTATAGGATTTTTTGTGAGGAAAGCAGGATTACCTGGTTGGTAACAACAGTGCGTTTGTCACAGGACCCAGCGCAGAATGTCTCCAGCAGTAACTGTATGACACTGATGGAGCCGTGGGGAGAAGACGGCAAAGACTTGTACATCTCATGTACCATGCCTTCAGTAGAGATAGGTACAGTGGGAGGCGGCACACAGCTACCTGCTCAGGCTGCCTGTCTGGACATGCTGGGAGTCAGAGGTAAATTAACCCTCGGACATTCTAAAAAACAGGATATTTTAGAATTTGTGTGTTTTATATGCTGTTTGCAAGTTGTTTTTTTTTTTAAAGGAACTGTCCAAATCCTAGTCATGTTACCAAGCATAACCTCTAGGATGACAACCCCAAACTCCCTCCCACAGCTAACTTTAAAAAACAAAAAGTTTCTCTATAAGTGGTTTAAATACCTGTATTGTTATTGATGGTGATCCTATTAGATGCAGTGGTGACTAATTTTGGCTCAATTTGGAGCCATTAGCATTACGAAAAACGGAGTCATCACTTCTTGATGATCCAAAACTAGTTGCCACAGCAACAACCTGGGATGGTGGCGTTGTCCTGTAATTCAGCTACTAGGAGGTCACAAATTGTGGATATTTATAGGCATGTACTGTGGATGCGATGCTCCCTGGTGTGGATTTATCCGCAGTACTATCCTGATAATTAGACCAATTCGTTAATTACAAGGAAAAAATGTGGTTCGGATTCCAATAAACTGTTGGTACCTTAGCTGCCATTGGCTGTATGGGCTTGTTAATTAACAGCTGTGTCTAGGGAATATGTCGGCCTTAGTCACTAACAAGACTACAAGATCGCGCAACTAATCCTATACTCATACTTCACTCATATTTGGGTTAAAATACGCACATAGTGGCGTCCCCATCTTAAATAATTGATTAATTGATCCAAAACTAGTTGTCACTGCAACCAATAGCATTATTATCAAAAAAAGGTATTCAAAGTTAATTTACTCATAACATAGGCCTATTGAAATGTGCAAAATACTAAGATAGGAATGTTGTCAAGTGTTAATAAGTAAACTATAAATAAGTAAATACGAATTATAATATTTATAAGTAATCAGAAGACTATCCATCATGGAAATCTAAAAAAAAATAAGTAAAAACACAGGAAAGTAAGGTACAGAGGAACCTCTCAATGGTACACTTAAGTGGTGTCTAGAGCAATGTCCAACACCGCCACCTCACTTTCATGAGCTACAATTCTCATGGTGTAGGAAGACTGTGTGCCCTGTGCAATAGGAATCTTCGCACAGGGCACACAACTCAGGCTCATCCTTGCTCGTCACAAATATATTTCTGGCACAACATACTAGAGCCGAAAGTGCACAGTCATCCCTTAATCGAGTTTCCTCTCTAACTTACTTCTCTGTGGTATAAATAGAGAAAACTTAATTGTTTGGTTTATGTGCATATACTAACCTATTGATCGAGTACCTCTCCTGTCAAAGTCCCATACAAACCACTAGGCAAGCAACTTATCTACTGTGAGGCCAGTTTCAAACAGGAACTATATTGGTAACATTAATTGTTTGTCTAGGTCCTCACGACAGTTGCCCTGGAGAGAACGCCAACACACTAGCAAGAATCGTCTGTGGCACAGTGTTGGCTGGTGAGCTGTCTCTTATGTCTGCTCTCGCTGCCGGACATCTCGTGAGAAGTCACCTCAGGCATAACAGGTACAGTCTTTGACATCACCAATATAAATGAGTCTTTACTGACAGCAATATGTGTTGGGCTTAGTTGTTTGACGTTTAAGTGACAAGCATTTGACTGTTAAAAAGTAATCATACAACAAGATGTTTTTAATTTCAGAGCTCAAAAATCACTTAAGAAAAGAATAAACACACAGAAAACTTATTTCAGAATTGTTTTTTTTTTTTTTTTTTACAGCTGACAAAAACACAGATATGTGCAAGTACAGTAGGTGAATAGTTTGTTGCAAGGCCACACTAAAAAAAACAGGCCGTAATGCTTGTCAAGCATGACTCACAATAGAAGACGGCAATGACGTACGTATTTATTTATTTATTTTCCAAGGAAAGATAAAAACAAGCAGCCGTCTTCTATCGTGACGTCATGCTTGACGAGCATTGCGGCCTGTTTTTTTAGTGTGGCCTTGTTTGTTGCCAAAACAAGTGGCTAAGAGCAATTATGTAGATGAGGATTAGTTGGTGAGTTGGTAGCACAACGGAATGTAAAACCCAAGCAGCAATGTCATCCACATCTTGGTGTCGCCATTTATTTTAGTACAGTTCATTCTTGTACTCCACCGATTCCCGTATTGCTACATACATTCCAGACAGGGCCCTTGGAGACCCACATTGACAGGCAAACTCAATGTTAAAAGAGGCAGCTAATTTCTTTACTTGTGTCTAAGAGTTATTTTGTTCCAGATCGTCTACAACCACCCCTCCAAGCCATCTTTCTTCGCCCAACTTATCTTTACAAACCTCGTGCACTAGCTAGTGACTCCAGTGATACACTTTGGTTGTGTTGTGCAGCTCAGCTCAAAATACCTGTTTTAAACTAAGACTGTGTAAATATGACTTGTAAATAATACAATTTGATTAAAGTTTTATGTAGAATTTGTTGAAAACTGTTCAGATGTGTATTCCTTGTTAAACATGTAGGGATATGTGTTTTGCTTGTTAGTACTGTGGCCTAAAAAGTCTTCCCCAAACAAAGAAGTTGAACTAATTTGTATAAATCATTAACTATTTTCAAACTCAATGTAAAAAAAATTATAAAAATTTAAAGTACCGTAACATTGGATTTTCCAATATGTGTACTAATTTAAAAAAGGTGCATGTATCTATTTCACGGATTTTCCCCAGATTCCTTTCGGTGGACCTGTTTTTATCTTTTTTAATATGAAATATTTTCTAAATTGCTATCTTATTGTAGTGTTTATTGTTAAATATTAAAACTAGTGTTTGTTTTTGTTGTTCTGTGACCAGTATTTTATGTAGGTTTTAGGATTTAGTTATAATTTGATAACTGTTCTCTCTTGGTATGTCTGGAATGTTCCATTGTAAAAAAATATATTTTTTAAACATTTTTATTTAGTGGTTGTAAACAATTATTGTTGCCATTTTTAGAATAACTCAGCTAGACAATATCAATTTAAACGTACTGCCAAATAACTTCATTAGATAGTAGATATGAGAAATAGTTAACTTTTAACTTTATTCTTGTAACATTGTTGATTATATTTTTATAAAATGAATGTTTATCATATTTTTTTATAATGCTTGAAAATGTTATACTTACCTACTTGAAATTTTGCTAACAGTTTAAAAGTTATAACAATATTTCGCTCAAGATTCTTTGGTTTAAGCTTTGACTATTAATACAACTTCAGTATCCAATAGTCAATGGTTTAAGATTAAATGTAACCTGCTTAATGTTATTTATGTGCAGTATCACTTCTCTATGATTTGAGGTGTTTGTCTTATATAAGATGATTGTATCAGTCTTTAAGAAGAAAATTGTGGAACTTGGTGCGAAACGTCTTCCTTCATCTCTAAAATTAACTTTTTGGAGAGTAAAATGAAGTGGAATGTTTTTTAGCGGTTCGCTCTTTGCTTAATTCTAAGATAAAGACAGACATTGTTTCTCAAGAGTGGTTTTTATTCACAGACAGTTTTTTTTTTTTAGAATTCATTATCTTGTGTTTACCAGATTAAAGTGTGCACACATAACCAAATATCTGCATTAAAACTGTAAATTTGTTTAGTTTCTACTATAATCAATGTTTTGTGATTAATATAATTTGCGTAGCATAAAAAATTGTCCCAGCATAATCCTCTTTTAGTAAGATCATTGTTACTGTACCAGTTAATTTGTATTATACAGTAGAACCTTGCTAATTCGAATTTCAGAGGAGAGACAATATATTTCGAATCAAAGGAAGTCTGACAGTCTGAACTATAGCGAGTTTGAATTATAGAGGTCAGAATAAATAAAATTTGAATTATGGAGGTTCCAGTTTTAAGTGTAGGTAGAGAGTTTGAGAGAACGGAGACTAATGAACACATCTTGGGAACATCAATAAGAGCGTCATTTCATGTTTCAACAGGCATATTTTTGTCCTGAATTCAAATTACAGAGGCTTATGGTAGCACATTTTGAATTGTAGAGGTTGACTTCAAATTTTGGAGGTAAGGCGTAAAAATCACTTTAAATGGTATATTATTTTTCAAATTTTAGAGGTTTTCTGGGGGGGAGCAGACAAACATTACTAATTATAGAGGTTTTCGAACTATCGAGGTTCGAATTAGCGAGGTTCTACTGTAGAAACTAGAAACAAAGCAAAACATATTTGCTAATGTAGTTTTACCTTACTCTAATATTTTTTATTGCAGTTTATAGTGATTGTATTTCGCATTATGATAAAAACCTCAAAGAGATAATTTTAATCATTCTCTTGAGATTTACCCTATCTGCATGAAATAATGTAAAAAATTATTCACATTTATAAAATCTTCTATTAAAATATTAAAATTGTTAAGTTTGATATAAAAACCATGCTTTATTGTTTGGATCTGTGTTTCTAGTCGATTATATTGTTTGATAGTTTATTTACGAGTATATTCATCCATTTTTATTGTTTCATCCTGGAAGGTACTTTTCATTTATTCTGTTATTATTTCAATATAAAAGTGTCTGATGTAACATACTTTATCTTTAGCCATAATGTAAACCAATTTTAATTTGAAATAACATTTATCTAGTTAAGCACACTTTATAAAGACTAATAATGTACTTACTGATCCGATGTGATTTTTTCATTTATTTAGAATTAGGTCAGAAACTCATATGTCTCCGTTACCGAATAACTTAACATAATTTGGATCAGTAGTTGGTAGAATAGTTTCAAAATAAAATGTCATAGAGTTGTTTCATTTATTGCTTAGTTCAAATAAATGATGTAAACATTCACTAGTTTTTTTATTTTTTGTATTCCTTTAGTGTCAAGTCGAGGCAAAGCAATTGGACATCTCATACAGTATTCTTTACCATTACTAATATGTGAAATGGATTCTTTTTAATGTCTTACTCTTAATTTAAAAAAGAACAAGCCAAGATCATATATTTTTTTAAAGAATTTTAAGTAAACACTTGAAATTCATATTTTAGCCCTCATATAGATAACTCGAGTACAAAAACTTTGTTTTTATTTTGCCCCTTTTTATGGGATTTGGTTTATTAAATCTTTCCCCTTTATCCAGCAATCCAAGCAATGAATGCTGTTGTTGGAGTGTTTAGTTTATCATTCAGTTGGAACTAAATGATTAACTTTAACTGACATGCGCAACATTTAAAGTAAAGTAGCATAAGATAATTAATGGGAAATATTTCAGTAGTAATTTTTGTGCTGTTTAACTTAATTACAGCGCATAAGAGTAATTTTTAATTGAATCGTATATTAAGTTTCATATGTGAGGCAAAGCTTGACAAGTGGAACAGGAACGCCACATTGCAAGATCGAGGCAAAGCTGAGCATGTGAGATTTGTTTCACGCACAAGGCAAAGTCAAGAATAGGAATAATTGGAGCAAGTGCAAGAAAATTGCTTTTGGTAAAGTTATACGAATGGTACTTTTCATCACGATTGAATTATGCTCATTTCTTTTTGAAGTTAAATCATCTGAGAAAGGAGAAAAAATACCCAGTGATTCAGATTATCAGTTATATTTTACATTTTCATCGCACAAAATATACATAGGGCCTAGAGTGCAATATTTTGATAAAACACAAATAACATAAATTATTAACTTTTTTAGAGTAAACAGCATGGCTGTCCACTTGAAAGTAATAACAAATACCACTCTTAGTTTAAAAATATATCACTGTCTTTAGTTAACTACTTTGTTTACAATATCATACATCTGAAAATACACACTTGTTATACAGTTATTTAATAAATCATAAAGATTATCCCTACTATACAAAACATAAATTGGGAATATTATTAACACAATTCTATATGATACACATTTTAAAACCATCCAAAGATATTCATATTCTCATTTATTAAAATCTCTTACTACGAAAACAAGATATAATATTTTAAGTATTCAGAATGATCAGAAAAAAATAAAAAATTCCTCTAGCTTCAACTAGGCATATATATATATATATATACAGGGTATATATAAAGTCCCACACGGGCTTAATATTTTCTAAACGACAACAGATAAATCAATAAGATTTGGTACATCAACACCACAACTAAAAATCTACTTTTTCAAGGAACTATCAATTTTCTGTCATATCATGGGGACGTCCCGCAAGGAGTCAGAAGGAAATCTTAAATAGAAGCATAGGTTGGCATGTACATCAAATTAAAGGTCTTTACTAGCAGAATATAATGCCGCAAATTTGAACTCAAACGGACAACCGAGCCAATAATGACAGTTGTTCAAAGATTAATTTAATTTGCATTGCTATTATACGCTTACTCCCCAGGGGCACAGCCCTAGGAATCGTAAGAAAATTGTTAACGTAAGCATGGGTCGATATGCACAAAGGTCTTCACTAGTAGATTACAATGTCGTAAATTCAAGCTCAAAAGAACGCCTGAGTAAAAAATGGCAGTCGTTCAAAAATTCAAAATGGCGGATTCAAGAAATCTTTGAATGGCCGCCATTTTGCTCAGGATCAACCTTTTGAAGTGCGGTTTGCGACATTGTATTCTACTAAAAAGACCTTTCATTTGATGTGCATATGCTCCTATTTAAGATTTCCTTCTGACTCCTTGCCCCCATGATATGAAACAAAAATTCATAGTTCCTTGAAAAAGTAGATTTTTAAGTGTGGTGTTGATGTACCAGATCTTATTGATTTATCTGTTGTCGTTTAGAAAATATTAAGCCTGTGCGGGACTTTGTATACACCCTGTATATGTAGGCCTATACATAATGCAAAAAATTATTACATTAAATATCCAGTACAGTTTGACAAAAAAGCCAAATTTAACTGATCCACAGTTTTTTGCACAGCAGCTTGACAAAATAAAATACCCTCGTGTGTCCCTAACGCTTGATAGGCCAGCAGCATTAGGACAAAACTACTTTTACACAACATGTTGTTGTTAATTGTTATGTCTTTTCAGTGGTTATACAACTAATGAGCAGCTTCAAAAATACAATTGTTCCGAGCCAGTCCAAGAAAATTTAAGACGGTTTTTTATCAACAGCTAACAACTTGTCATCTAAACACAAAGGGATGAGATTGAACTAGTAACCATCATTAAACAAGACAGGCACCAAATACTTGGTGGTAGGTACTTTTACTTATTATATTTTATTTTATTGCAACAAGAGGGGTTACAATTGGGTACAGTCTAAATATTATATTCTATATAATATATAGCTGGGTTGTTGGTGAAATATAGTGGTTATAGTGTTCACAAAGTAATCAAAAGGTCGGCGGTTAGATCATGAGAAAAGTTAGTAGCTGTTTGATGGTTTGAAGCCGGTTCCAGTTATTGGCCTACCTGATGGTTGGACAAAATGATCCTGGCTAATGAAACAACTGACCTAGTCAGTAGAAAAACAAAGACACAAGGTTTTCTCATTCTATACTCATATTTGTATTCAATTACAAACCTAGTCAGTGTCCCCATCTCGATTCGTAATATTATTCCTTATCAATTCTAAAGTTGCAGTGCTACCTTAGACTTTTGGATAAAAGATTCATTCCATCTAATTTCAATAAAATATATTAATTATATTTAATGAGCAACTATAATACATTCAAAAATATATCAACAAACATAACTTAGATAAAATATATCTAGCAAAATCACACGATTTGTACAGTATTTAACACAAACTTTTTAGAAATAACAATTATTCAATTATTAAAAGGGAAAATACAGAAAAAAATATATATTTTAAGAGTAGTTAGGACTGCCATAAATATACAGTAGACTCCCTTTATCAGATGCCTCGGGACCGAGGCCAATCCGGATAGCGGGTTTTCCGGTTAAATTGATGTCTCCTCAAATTTACCAGAAACTCAAAAACTAACCAAATTATATTATACCCAATTATCCCAATCATATTGGGAGAGCATTGTGTACACACGTGATCGCTGGTCTCAAATCACTACCACGAGAAAAGTTGTTTCAGTACCACCCACTTCCTACCGATCCAGTCCAGTTAAACCAGTGTTCTGATAAAAATTGTACGGTTAAAAAGATGTCACTTCTGCCGAGTTTAGTCCAGTTAAACCGAGGTCCTGGATAAGAGAGTCTACTGTATTGGAAGAGTAGCCTACCTATTGACAATGCATCCATTATCTTACTAATTAGTGAAAGAACTGTATTCAATGACAGGTTTGTAGATATTTTTAATCACTAAATTTACTTGTTTCAACAGGTTTTAACAGTTATAACCAATAAAAATCACAATCAGAATAATATTTCAATGAAACTTTGAACTCAAGTAGTCTATTTGAACTGAAAAATCATTGTTAAAAATTAATTAGCCTACATTCTGATCTTCCTTTTTAAGTCAAGCCTATTAATATACTCCAGAGGCAGGCCCAGAGCATGAAGTTGTTCCTCTGTCATAGTGTCCAAGTCACGATGGTACGAGATAACTGCCTCCCAACATATCTCTTTCAGTTTCGGTATGCAAAGCCAAGCCATGTGTACGTCAGCTGATCTTTTACTGGTGTTCTCAGACTGAACGATTCCTCCAAACGTTATCACTTTACCGCTGGGAGTTAGGCAAGAGGAATGGAAATACACTCCTCTGTTTAGAGACATTTTCGAAAGCTTCTCCCACTGATAGTTTTTCAGATCCAGTCTCCAAATATCCTTGAGAATCAACTGACCTGTGAACCCGCCGATGATAAAAACAAAGTGGTCTCGCTGAACACAACTGTGGCATCGGCGACGGGAGGGAAACACTTCTCTCGCTTTGTCGTCAGGCCTCGTGTTCATCTTTTCCCACGTGTTTGTAGTCAGGTTGAATGCAAAAACAGTCTAGAAAAATTAAGATGGCGTATCATATTAAGCTTAAATTGCAAATTTGTGCAGGTTAGTTGAAAAAACAGGAAACCAAGTTTTAAAAATACTCCCGCCAGATGATATTTATGTTATTAATTTGGGGACATCTTTGGTCACTTCAAACATTTTGAAAAATTCTCAAATAGTCTTTGTATAGTTATATGATGGTATGAATTTTGTGGGATCATAATGGGTTCATACAAATAAATTCATTTTAAAACACACATAGGTACATTCAGATTTGATTTCCATTATAATAGGCCTAATGACTAATTTGTCTCAAGTGGGTTGTCTTAAGTATCTTAGATAATAGAAAAATATTGATGAATTCATATGAGACTTTACAATAGAGATATATCTATTCATTAATCATTTACAACAACCTTTTACTTATACTATGTTGTTCTATGTAGGCCTATACTGTTGGCTGTTAACAGATAGCCTAAGTGAGTTGTTTTGTTGCAACATTTTAGCTGGTTTAAATTTGAATGTTCAACATGTCCGGGTACAGATTGCATTTACAATGTAGCCTAATAGAAGCATATTTGAAGAAAAGTAAGTTAATTGAATAAATACGGTAACTTAAAATCATTCATATCTTTTGATAGATGTAATTAAGAAACAATAGGAAAATCAGCTAGGCAAATAACAAAGGCCAAGAAGAAAATGTCAAAAGCTCAAGAGTACCTTGTCATGTGTGACTTTTCAGACAACTTCATACAGCTGAGCACAAAGCTACCAGAATACAGTAGACTCCCTCTTATCCGGACTCCTCGGGACCGAGGCCAGTCCGGATAACGGGTTTTCCGGTTTTAAACCGACGTCCCCAAAACTCGTTAAAACGGACTGTTTACTGTGAAATTCGACTTAAATTTAGCCTATGAGAGCATTGTATTTAGACACGTGATCACTGGTCTCAAATCTTTCCCACGAGAACAGTCGTTTCAGTACAGTCCACTTCCTGCCGATCTAGTCCGGTTAAACCAATGTGCTGATAAAAATATTCCGGTTAAAAGGTGTGTGGATAAGAGGGAGTCTACTGTAGTGGACAAGCGACAATGCATCATTATTTGTGATTTACTACAAAATGGTCGAAAAATCTAGCGTTTTACGCTTGTAGGCCACTGGGCTAGGGTTAATACCGGTATCATTTTTAAATCTTTTTCAATTTTCTTACATTACCAACGCATACACACACTTGTGTTTACATCCAAAATAAAAAAAAAAAGATCTAGGCCTAGTTAAATAATTTTAAGTGCCATCTTTATTAGTATATTTGATTTGATGTTAGGTATATAGCCTAGTTAGTCAATGGTTTCATTTTATTTGCTTAACACAACGTTGCTACCTAACATTGAGTTGTAATAAAAATAACTCTTTGCAACCAAACCCTCAAGTTTTACTTATAGCCTATTAATAAGTTAACATATGTAAATCAGTTCTATGAATGCATTAGTGAATTTAATTCATAATTTACTACAACCATATAGGCTATCAAACAAGCTAGACAAAAAACTAAATATTTGGGTGGAAATCTGTTTCTTTTTTGGGTCACTGTTGCTCCAGCCTTGGAAAACAACCACTCAGAAGATGCGAGCGTGGCCATTTTACTCAGATTTTTCAGAAATTAGCCTACCACCTTCCGATACGATAGGCTACTGGCCTCTTGGTATCGATACCAAGTAAATATCGGAACAACCGTTACCAATACAATACCAGCAGTATCGCAATAAAAGTATCGATACATACTGGTATCGCTAGTATCGCAACATCCCTAGCCTAACTTAGCCTAAAATAGCCTAGTTAAGTCAGGCCCTAACTTACCTGAAAATCAAAAGCTTCATGAGCTGTTCCACCGCCAAGTAAATATATCCTTTGTTCAAAGTATGCTACCTCATGTCTATATCTTCCCGTTGGTTCAATATCACTTCCCTTACAAGTATACACAGCTTCCCACATTGCATCCTTTAAGCTTAGGCGATGAATGTCACAAGAGTATTGAAAGCCAGTGGTCCCACCAATGGTATACAAGTAGTCATCAATTAACAGAATCGCTTGACCATATTGCGGCTGAGGACTGTTTCCTAGAGCAACAATTACTTCAAATTTAAGGTCATTGCTTTTTGAAAGATCGCAAATGAATAGGTCATTACTGCAATTGGCACCAAAGGGTACTCCAGTTCCACCGTAAACCATCAAAATATTTCCACTCAAAAGGACAGCGTTTGAAGCTAAAATGTCCGGTATAAGCTCAACATCCATCTTCGTCCAAATGCCTGTGGCTATATTGTATTTCCACAATTCTTTAAATAAAGGCTTACTATCTGACCAAACATTATCACTGAGTAGGTCACTTTCATCACATGCGGACAATGATGGGTTATAGCCACCAAATGAATAAACATTCACATTGTCACAAACTATTCTGTGCCCACTCCTAGGTTTAGGCCACACATTGGAATCCTTGTCTCTACTTCCACTTCGATCGTTCATTCTGTATTTACTGGTTAATTTGTAAGCCTTAAATTTGAATTCTCTATCCCTGACTGGCGACATGTTGAGTATTCACTAGGCCTATGCTTTAAATTTATAACTAAATGAAATCATCGTTATGCAGTGAAACAAAGATTTCTCAACGAAACACGAGTTGTAACTCAAACCATTACTATGAATAAGCTAGGTTTCAACTTAGAACTATAAAAATTCGATTTAAGACTGCTTAACCTCAATCTCCATTCTCCCCCTCCCGTCCCTCCCTTTCTTTAGTTAGAAACTTAGAAGGAAGAGTGACGAGGACGAGACGACGGACTGAACTGACGGACGACTCGGACGAGTGACGTGACGACGTACGTCACGTTACGAGTTGAGCTACGGCTACGACTACGACGAGGTATATACTCAGGGGAGGTATAGATGAGCTTACGATGACAGCTGTGAGTGGGCTTCTCATTAGCTGAGGGAACACCATTACCGTAACAATACAGTTGTAGCCAACGGCCTCGGTGGATGGTCTAGTGGTTAAGCACGGGTCACACTAGGCTGGCATCAGCGGCGAATTGAAAGAAGCCGCGACTGTCAGCTTAATGTGACCACAAAATTCGCAGCTGACACTGAGCTGACTCAGCCTGGATTGGTGAACCGGTGATGCTGGTGCCAGCAGCTGACCACCAGCGGCTGGCGTTCAGCCTAGTGTGACCCGTGCTTTAGCGTGCCAGGCTGGTTTGCTGAGAGTTCCGGGTTTGAATCTCGCTGCTGGCACTAACTTTTTGACTGATTTTTTTCATTATCAGCAAGTTTGGTTGGTTTGGTTCGGTTAAGATAGTTTAATTTTATTATTAAGTCATTATCAAATTTTAATTGAGCAATTTCTATTTTTATTTAATGAACAGAGTTATTTTTTCTATTAATAAACTTTTTTATATTATTTAATTATCAGCAAGTTTGGTTAGTTCGGTTAGGTTATGATAGTAATTTTATAATACAACAAATTATAAAATTGAATTTGAGGCATCAAGGGACGCTCCGTGACGTAGCCTAGGCGTCACAATTTCATGACGTTCACACTTTCCAGTTCCATTCCTTGTCCATTTTAGTGGTACTGGTTAGTGGTTTCACAACGAAGTTGAGTGCGGGATTACCCACGGCCACCTTTAACTACAGGCCGCGTCCTGGTAGAATTGGCAACGTCGCAAGTGGTGTTGTTTGTCAACCTCAAGAATTGACAATTCCCTGGTCTTCAAGACTACGGAGGAGAGGAACCTGTATGTATGTTTTTTGACATACGTCCCATAGGATAACATGGCAGACATGTGACACCAGCTCATTAATTTGTACTTTATTGATTTAAATTTAAATTTATGAACATAAATTTATTAAACTACCGTATTGAAAATAAAACATACAAAACTGAAAACCGAAACAATATGAATTAAAAATCTAGATCTGTACATTTTAAGCGAAGTCAATAAAATCTTTTACCTAACCCGCCATGTTAAACTTCCCTATCCTAAGCGTGATGTATTCAACTTCCTCACTTCACGAGTGATGTAAGGTTGAAAAAACTCACTTGGTGGGGTAATGAAACCCATTTAAATAACATTGAGCGGATAACTTATAGCTATTTACCTTACAAGTGTAGTAAGAGCGTTTTTACATCACGCAGGTGAATGTTGTGCAACGAGCGGAAGCGAGTTGCATAATTTACCTAAGTGATGTAAACACGCTCTTGCGTAACGTGTAACGTACAAGATTTTACCTGACCCGACAATATACAGGAGGTTACGAACAATATTTTTTATTATCCATTTCACTCATCTTCTAACAGTGACGTTCATTTACAAACAAAAGCTAGGTTAGGAAATTCTTCAAAACATAACAATTAAATTCAAGCGCACAGCTGATTTCTAGCGTTGAACGCCGTTGGCTCCATAGAGGTATATTTTTTTAAGTTAAGCACTCAATGTTATTTAAATGGGTTTCATCAGGGGTGCCCATCCCCCCCAGTCCTCATGACGCACCCCCCCCCCAAATTGGCATATGACCCCCCCCAAATTGGCATATGCCCCCCCCCCTATAAATTAGGCACTTCAAATGCGAAAAAATAAGCTTTTCGTATTATTCTTAAACTATTATATAGGTATTGAAAATTCAAACACAGTCTATAATATGTAAAATGTATATTTATATTATATTTCTAGAGTATAATTTCACAGTTAACATTGTTTTGTTATAGTACAAAAGAAATATCAATCAAATAATTCTGCTCAAATAACAATTTCAAAAGAGTTAATTGTTAACGTTACGTTACAGTAATTGGTTTTAAAAGAGAAAAATATTATTACATAATTTTTATAAAGCATTGCCTCCAGAATTTATGTATGACGAATAAATTGGGTTAGGTCTACGTAAATCCTATTGTAGTCTCGGCCGAATATTTTCTAAAGTTGTTTACTTTCAGGCCCTTGTCGGGTGTTACTACACACATACAATTACTTGAACACAATGTTGTTGTCAATACAAAAACATTTTACATTTAGGATACACGAAGGTCGAAGAGCACGCATAAATTGAATAACCATCAATTAATTTGCGACTGGGCATAGCACACACCACGACGACACGACTCAACTACCCAACGTTTGTCTGGTGACATTGACCTTGGAGGGTGAAACGGTGAAACTGAAACAGCTGATTATGAGCGCCTTTGTTATCAATGTCCTCAATCCTGCCAAATACTAAATTATGGTACAAATTTAGATTTCCATATAAATAAATATTAAATGTTTGCCGTAATATAGTATTTTACAGGATTGGGGATATTAACAAAGGCACGTTATAATCAGATGTTTCACCCCCTCCAAGGTCAATGTCACCACGACCACACAGACTTCGGGTAGTTGAGTCGTGCCCGACGTGCGAGTTATGGCCGGCCGTGCATTATTTTATGTTAAATCATTGAATCCGTGTTCTTCAATAATATAAATAAATATTAAATATATTAATATATATATATATATATATATTAAATAATTTTATGTGAGACGACAAGGGGTTGAAAATGAAAGGTTTTGAAACTAGTCGCATGATACTACAATAGGATCGACAACGTAAGTAAACCTATTTTAGTTCACATGTTTCATTACCTCACCGAGTGAGTTTTTGTCAACTTTACATCACTCGAGAAGTAAAGAAATTGTTTACATCACGCTTGGGATAGGGAATCTTGTACGTTACACGTTACGCAAGAGCGTGTTTACATCACTTAGGTGAATTATGCAACTCGCTTTCGCACAACATTCACCTGCGTGATGTAAAAACGCTCTTACTACACTTGTAATGTAAATAGCTATTACGAATAAGGCCAAAAGTTACAAAATATTTAGTATGGTATGAAACTATGAGTTGGTATGAAGCATCTTGTTACCTACCCTAAAAGTGGAGATGGAGAGGTTATCTAGCTTACAAATAGAGCTCTTCCAAAATATAGTTATTTTTATTTGACAATTCATTGTATATATTTCACCGTACCGTATTTTGACGTTCTAACTCGTTAAGCAATTAAAAAAACTACAAATAAAATTTATAATCTCACAGTACTAGTTATTTAAATTACAATCACACTGGCGTTTGGAAAAATATTTTGAGATGGTAAATATAACTCCTCAGCGGCTGTTTGAAATTAACCTAATTAACATTGCTCTTATGGCGGGCAAATCCAAGATGGTCGCTAGCATACTTAAGGTCAACAGGTTAGGTATAATAATAATATAAAAAAATAGCTTATAAGAAAATAGCATTCTAGGCCAAAGGGCTCTGTTTTGTGAAATTTAGAAAATCTTCCACATCATAAAAACCATTTTTTGTCAGGAAAGATTTGATTTCTGTTTTGGAGCTTCCATGGACTCCCTTGGATGGTCAAAGGAATTTGCAAGGGTCTTCTAAAAAAAAACTTGCAATGCAACGATTCCGACGAAGAGTGGTATTCAAGCAATTAACTTAAGCCTATGGGCGTGATATAGTTTTTAATAAAGGTTTGAAGGAAAGTAACTGTGACCAGACTAGGGGGCGGAAAATTGTTTAGGGCCTAGGGGCGCAAAAATGCTAAATCCGACCCTGCCTTGGAGAACAATTCAAAACTACAAAGAACATTTCTAATCCCACAGTATACTAGATATTTAAATTATGATCACTTTGGTATTTGAAAAAAATATTTTTGGACACTAAATACCCCTTCAGCGGCTGTTTGAAATTATCCAAGATGACCACCACTAGCCTCCAAGGACTCGACGTCACGCACAGAACGTCCCTTGAGCCTTGCAGGAACCATAGATAAAACCAGGAACTTAACTGTGACAGCGATGTCGATGTCGTTACTCGGGTATTCGGTAGTTCTCGGTAGTTGTCGTCGCCGAGCTGTTGTGTCGTCTGCCTGCTGCTGCCTCTGCCTCTGTCTCCCTAGCAGTGTTGCCACTTTTAGGGTAATTACCCTTTTTTAGGGTAATTTACTGGTCTTAGGGTAAAGTTTAGGGTAATGGTAGATTTAGGGCAATTTTAGGGTAAAACTAAAAGTTAGTATAATAATGGAAATTTTACTAAAAAAATGAAAAAAACTTCAAAATTTGGCAAAAAACGTTCATTACATACTATGGCTATCATATTCGATTCAAATTGGTTGAAATCGTTTGCTATGATGATTTTTTCATAATAAGTTATCCTAATCGATCTTATCAATAGTTGGAAATTATCTGTTTTAGAATGTATTCGATTCTATAACACGTTATAGGCCGAATAAAATATGAAATATTATTCATTACTGGGTTTGATATTTAATTATGTGGCTGAATTGAATTAAACTGGATTATTTTACAAAATGTGTCAAGAAATTACTACTATGTATAGATTAAAGCTTTGGTGGTACCGTACTGTATTTTAAAGATATGATTGTCCAAAAACAGTAGTAATGGGTCGATACAGTAAAAAAATTCGATAGTTCTTGATTCGATATTTTTCGTTATACGATAGTCGATATAGAGCTGATCAATTCAATATCAACATTTTGTGTTCTTCTTTCGGGTGGTTTTTTAGAATCGAGTATAATTTTACGTAAATTGATTGATATTGGAACTTCATTTAGTATAATTAACCATCTTATGTAGGATTTATATGATTTTAACAATGTTTTATAGCATTAAACGCAAATATTAACATTTAGGGTAATTTTTAGGGTAACTCAAAGTAGATTTAGGGTAATTTAGGGTAATTTTAGCCCGCCTTTAGGGTAAAATCGCAACAACGTGGTGGCAACACTGCTCCCTAGTCCCTAAACGCCAAGCCAACACTGACAGCATTGCCTGTTTATTTTGAATTATTAGGGAAATGGTAAATAATAACACTGCCGTACTGCCGATGATAGAGTAGTAATTATTTTCATTGATTTGGCATTATTCATACAATTTTTGAGATGGTATGGTGAAATTTACTTGGAATTTGTTGGATGGAATGGAGAGATGAGTTGCAGTTGAATGAGGTGATAAATTTAAATTAGTTAGGTTAAGTGTGTGTGGATATAACTTATATGTGCGTTCAAATGATTTTGACTTCTGTTCAATGTGGTTAACACACTCAAATTAATAATACAGTATAATGGAGGGAAGATAAAGATAGGCCTAGTAAAAAAACAAACTTAGTTGGGTGAGTAATGGAATGAAGTAGGGCCTAAATTATTTTTACAACCATAAAGTAACTTAATGATGTTTAGCAAACAAATTAAAAATAATCATATCTGTATATAAATAGCCTAAAGCATAAAACAAAACCTTTGACTATTGATACAACAGTATCCAATAACTTAGTCAATGATAACTTAAAACTAACTTTAGTTATTGGATGAGTGACTTACATTTCCGCAGAGAACCTTCGATATAAGGATGGAATATTCGTTCTAAATTCATATCCTCTTTCTTTCATTATTATTATATTATTCATTGTGACCCTCTGTTGTAAAATGGGCTGCACTTTACTTGACGCCCTACACTCATTCGATTGTTTTTTCGATTCGATATTTTCATTCGATTGTTTCATTCGATATATCGTTTGGTTAGTTAGGTTAGGTTAACCTTACCTAACTAACCAAACGATATATCGAATGAAGCAATCGATTAATCGATATATCGATCGATATTTTCATTCGAATGAGTGTAGGACGTCAAGTAAAGTGCAGCCGTAAAATGTTATAGGCCTAGATAAAATAATATTATTATCTTATCGACCCATAGTTGTTGGTATGACAACTAGTTTCGTTCCTTAGAACTACGTTAGGTCGTTAAGTATGCAACCACATCATCAATATCATAATACATTTAACTTAACGGTACTTTCTTGTTAAAGGGGACATTCATTATTATCGATGATCTTTTGGTAATTATATCAACCTCCGGACCTCACGCGAAATTAAAATTTTTGTTGCAAAATGGTTGAAATTTCACGCTGATTTAAAAAATGATTGTTGTTTTTTTCAATAGATTGACAATATGAGAGTTAAAGATAACATGAGTATTGTAAGTAAGCTAACCTAACCTAACGAAACTCAACCTAACCTAAACCAACCTAACCTAACCTAAACCAACCTAACCTAACCTAAACTAACCTATCCTAACCTAATCTAAACCTAAGTTAGGTTATGTTAGGTTAGTTAACCTGTCCGGTGATGTTTTACTTATAAGCGATCGTAATAAAAACTACATATTCTTATTCAGTATGAAATTACGCACAATTTGAGTAGGTACTCCCAACATGGGTTTTGAGCAAAAAAATATTTTTGCGGAAATACGTTTCCGAAAAAAAGTCAATCATTTTTTAAATCAGCGTGAAATTTCGAGCATTTTGAAAAAAAAATTTAATTTCGCGTGAGGTAGACCTACGGAGGTCGATATAATTACCGATTTTTTTTCTCGATATCAATATTAACGAATTAAAATTAAGTATAATTGCAGAGATACATTAATCTATCCGTCACAAAGGGTTCCCACACTCCGGAATGCTCGCCTTGACTACTTCCTTCACCACTTCCTACATCTTGGACCTGTTTCCCTCCCTTCCCATAGCATTTTAGTATAAAAATAGACTAACATCTTTGACTATTTAATAGTCAATGCCAACATTAAATTGAATTAAGTAAAAAACTGCTTAGTTTAGTACTAAATATATAGGCCTACATATATATTTGTAAATATAATTTGACTCACAGACAAGCGGACAACCTTTCTCCGACTCCCCTATACGAGGTGGTTGTCTAAAGTGAAACCACCAGTGACTTTTGCATTACAGGTTGTCGAAACTTCTCTAAGAGAGAAATAAATTAAATCTGATTTTTGCTCATTTATGACTAAATTATTGGATGCAAACCAGTTTTTGGAAGAGGCTAAGGCATTTGATAGTAGTTGATTAGCATGTTGAAACAACTATCTGAGCAAAAGGTTGTGTCATCGGCGTAGAGTACTGACAATATAGGAACATTACTCGTACAATTCATATCGCATGGAGCCTTGGGTTACACCGGCCTTAACATCAATAAAATTAGAGCTAACATTATTTACTTTGATCTTTTGTTTACGTCCAGACAAGTAAGATTTGAAAAGATTTAGTAACTAATCTTTACACCGTAGAAATCTAATTTTTTGTTCAAAATATCAAAAGATAGGCAGTCAAGATTGATCAAATTTGAGGCAATGATAGATTGTTTGGAGTAGGAATATCCGAAGAAATGTAGCGATTAGACCTGCAATTAGTAATTACCAATGTCCGATTTAAACGGTCCGATTTTAACGTTGTTTTTCACCTAGGTAATCTAATACCTATTGAAAAGCAGGGGCCCAAGTACCGAGCCCTGCAGGACATCAGCTTTATTAGCAGAATGTCATGATCAATTCTGTCAAAGGTCTTGTTAACTAAACAACTAACTAACCTGCATGTATCATCCCCTGTATGTAATACAATTTGAATTCAAAAACTATCTGGTGTGTTGATTGTTTATTTAGAGCATAAAAAATTGATTTAAATAGGTCTAGTTGCTGAAATTAATTTGTTTTAGGTAGGCTAAAACATGACTTTGCAAGAATTGTCATAAAGAAAGAACATGCCTGAAAACCCAAGTACTCGTGTCACGGCTGTAAGTAATTTAGACCCTAAGTGTTTCGTGATAGATATTTTTTTTGATTGATTTGGGTAAATAAAATAACTATGAAGAGAAAAGGGGGAAAATATTGTATAGCCTATATATAAACTATAAAGATATCATCCAAAATGCATATTTAAAGGTATTAATTATTAAAATTATGGGGAAAACTAGCATCTCTTTCCTTATCAGCAGTAGCAGTTAGTAAATTAGCAGTCATTATGTTTTTGGAAGAGTTTTTTCTTACAATACATGGGTTGGGTTCAATCCAAATTTATATCGCATCCTCTATGTATACACGTCTGAACTTTACATAAAGTAGGTAACATGATTGCAAAAATGCACTATGACGATTTGGGCATTGTATTCTAAGTTAATTATACGAGATGCTGAGATCATGCTGATTTAAAAAAAATCTGTCCCTCATTTTAAAACGTTTTTATTAGGTCGCTTTCTTGTCCGCTACAAATTTTGCAACCGATTTTATACTAACTTCCCTATGAGCTAGGGACTTGAAACTTGAAACGTATCTCACAAATGGAAGACAATGAAATATTATACAATTTAATTTTCATATTTCCCTTGGGCTACGCCCCATGGGCTTGTTTTTATTAAATTGATTTCTTGCAAATTTTGATACTTCCCGATGAGCTAGAGACTTGAAATTTGAAACATAGCTCACAAATGGATGACATTGCAATATTATATCATTTAATTTTCATATTTCCTTTCGGGCTACGCCCCATGGGCTTTTTTTATTAGCTCGCTTTCTTACAAATTTTGATATCAATTCTAAACGATGTTCCCGATAAGCTAGAGACTTGAAATTTGAAACATAGCTCACAAATGCATGACAATGCAATATTATATAATTTAATTTTCATATTTCCCTTGGGCTACGCCCCATGGGCTTCCAAATTTTTCATGTTTACATTTTGAAAGGATGTAAATATATCAACTAATTTAAGTCAGCTGTAAATACTTAAATTTGACAGTTCGAAGAGAGGTTAAGAGGTACAGGTTGTGCTCCCAAGAGATTCTTTATACAAACAAACATTTCAAAATAAAGATAAACAATCAGATTGCAGGTATCAAGGTGTTTGTAAATAATGTCAATTTTTGTTTATTTAGTATTCTATAAAGTAAACAATAAATATTTCGAGTGAATGCATTGCAGAGAAATTTCATAACAAACTATAGTTAAATTATTATATATTGTGAGTTTTCGGATTAACGAACTGTAAACATGTAATAATATCAATTATTTGTGAATATTGCATGATAACTCATATTATGGTCAAGGAGACAGTCACCCAACGCAAGCGACGCCTAGAGAAGGAAAAGAAAAAAAGACTAGTTAAGCTTCAACAGGAATCGGAGGTTTGTAAATCGGCAAGACTACTATTTGATACTAATCTGGTAACTATTTGAAGATCCTTCGAAGTCAGTGGAAGGATATCAAATTCCTGTTCATCGATGAGATTTCCATGGTCCCATACAAAATGTTGTGCATGATTGACTCTAGGTTGCGACAAATGAAAAAGGAGGAAAGTGAACCATTCGGTGGCATCAACGTTATGTTTTTTGGAGATTTTTTTCAGTTGCCACCTATAAGAGGAGCTCAAGCACTCCACCAGCCTACGAGATTTATTCCAGCAACTCATTTGTGGAGACTTCTCAGCCTTTTATTAAAACTAAAAAGTATAAAATAATTTATAAATAAAAAACTTTTTTAAACAAAACGTTTTTAAACGCCCTAAAAAGTAGAAGATAATTTACAAATAATTTATAAATATGTTGAGAGAGTAATACTTGTACGATTTAAAACGAAAAACGTTGGGTGCATGCAATTAATTGATAATAATACATTAGTTCAGTAGGTGAAGGTAATTGTAAACTATCTATTGCATGCACCCCACGTTTTTCGTTTTAAATCCTACAAGTATTTATACTCTCTCAAGATATTTATAAATTATTTGTAAATTATTTTCTACTTTTTAGGGCGTTTAAAAACGTTTTGTTTAAAAAAGTTTTTTATTTATAAATTATTATCCTAATTTTTTTAAGATTCTCAAAAAAATGTTCTTTAGATATAGGACTATGTTTGATCAATGTTTTTTTTACGTGATAAAGGAGTTACTTTCAGTAACACCAAAGACTGGGACGGGTGGCGTCGTCCTGTAATCCAGCTACTAGGAGGTTACGAATTGTGGATAATTATAGGGATGCACTATAGATGCGATGCTACCTGGTGTGGATTAACGTCCGCACTAGTGAGTACTACGACTATCCACAGTACTATCCTAATAATTAGACCAATTTGTTAATTACGAGGAAAAAATGTGGTTCGGATTCCACAAACTGTAGGTCCCTTAGTTGCCATTAGCTGTATGGGCTATTAATTAACAGCTGTGTCTAAGGAACATGTCGACCTTAGTCACTAACAAGACTACAAGATCGCGCCACTCATCCTACACTCATCCTTCACTCATATTTGGGTTAAAATACGCACATAGTGGCGTCCCCATCTTAAATAATTGATAATTGATTGAGTTCATGTTTTTTTATTTTTTTTATTTTGGAAATCACTGAATTTTATTCCTCAAATTAAAACTGAAGAGTCTAGTGATTTTGTAGATAAAGAAACATCAACTAAAAACGCCTGCCGCAGCAAACCTGCAGACTAATCGAATTTCAACTTGTTAGATTACATTTATACTTAAATATTTCCATAAATAAGACATAATAAGATATTTATTCCAAATTTAAATAACATAAGATTTAATGAGTGCTTAGGTTTGCTGCTACGGGGAAGGTAAATACCCCCGCCGCAGCAAACCTGCAGACTAAGCGAATTTCCATTTGACTGATTGGATTTACACTGAAATGTCTACTTAAAAATATAACATTTATTCCCGATTTAAATAGAATTAGTTTTAACAAGTACTTAGGTTTGCTGCATCAGGGAGGGTAAAACTGTTTTTTTGTAAAATGTAGGTTTACACGTTTGTACCAAATTTCATCAAAATCGGATCATTTTTGCTCGAGTTATCGTGCTAACGGACACACACATATATATATATATAAATATATAAATATATATATATATATATGAATTAGAACGGATGGTGTTTTTGGCCTCTAGGGACCACAAAACGAAAAAAAAAATCGGTCCCACGTCCAGGTCTTACCATGAGTACTACGGTAATAGCTTATTCCCTATATGGGAAATTCGCTAAAAGTACTAAATATATCCATAAATAAGTAAACTACAACAGTTTTCATTTTCTCCATAAGAATAACATAGGAATTTTAAATTAACACTTTTTTTAAATTTTCTCTGTAACCGTTAGACATACAACAGCGCATCAATATACTAAATTATTTATTTTTTTCAGCTCTACAAAATAGTTTGAAAATAAATTGCAAAATTTTATGTTTTTAGAGAAAAACCCATTTTTACCCCATAAAACCGTTCCCATGGTCCGTTCATGCTGGTTCGCAAACTCGTTTGAATAAATGTAAGTTTACACATCTAAACCAAATTTCATCAATATCAGATCATTTTTGCTTGAGTTGTCGTGCTAAGGGACACTTATATATATATAAATTTAAACGGATGGTGTTTTTGGCCTCTGGGGAACTCAAAGTACTGTACTGTATCACAAGTGGCAAAATGTGCATTAGTGAACAAAGATAATTAACCCTTACAGGACTTTATTGGCGGATATATCCGCTAGCATGTTGTGCATAGTGGACTATAGGAAAATATATCCGCTAGCATTTTGTGCATAGCAGACTATAGGCGGATATATCCGTTAGCATTTTGTGCATAGCGGACGGTAGGTGGATATCATTGTTGGTTGAGGAAGCTTATAGTCTTAAATTATTATTATTCATTACTGTCTTGTATAGGAAACAAATATAATCAGTTGGGGCACATTTGAACAACATACTTACCAGAGGAAAACATGGTGTTCAAATGTACCCCTCAGACACTGTTCAAATCTAGGCCCCATTTTGCAAAAAGTTAAATTATGTTTTCTTGAATTGTAATTTATCAATGTGAAGTGCATAATTGTATCTAAATATGTACAAGCCATAAGGTAAATGGATCAAACTTATCTGTAATGTAGTTTTTCTATGGAAAATCTAAAAATCCCTACTGCTAAAAAAGTGTTCTTGTGGCGCTCTAAAACTTCTTTTCCCAACAACAAACTAAGAACTGATCTGAAATGGAGGGAGATGAATGCAACCTGTTGTCCTATTGGAGGGCTACATTTTATGGTTCAATGGCCTGCGAGTATAAAAATGACGGCAAATTTAAACCGCTCAAATGTGCCCCAATCTCCCCTAATATCTGCCGAGTGTTATGAAAAGCACTATTTTCATGGCTTAATACCCATTTAATGGTTTCAGTTAGACGCAATTGATCTGGACTCAGAAATCCAAAGGATTCTTAAGGACCAGCTTCTGAAGATTGTGCATATTTTGTCAGTAAGTATGTCTAAGCTGGATTTTTCTACTTTCTGCTAGTTTTGTTTTCCCACTAACATGAGTAGGCCTACCTACTGATTTTATTAAGGCTTCTTGACTCAACATCCTCTGCCGATATTTCATGGTAGTACACACATTTTAAATTTGTGTAAACTAAACATAAAATATGTTATAGTTTTAAACTAGTTGCTGTTTATGTATAAAATTACTTAATAGTTGGTAGGTGGTATCAAAAGAAAAATGTTTTCCATTCAGTCTAACCTAACCTCATAAATAACAAATGTTATGGGACCGAATATTTGTTACAATCAAGGGATTTGCTAAATGGGGTTTGGTATATTGAGGTTAGGTTTGCAGGAATTTTCCTAAGTATAAGTTCACAAAACAGCATCGGTCAATTAAGGTCGATGTTCGCCCTTGTATAAGTATCATAGGCTACAATACATTACACTATTGTAAAATATAATCTTGATTATCTGGTGTAGTAGGGAGGATGGAGACCATGGAGAGTGAAAACCACTATTTATCCAATATAGTATTAAAATACCCCCACTGCAGCAAACCTGCTATTTAACTTTGTTCAGTTATACAAACTGTAACTTTTAAAATCACAGCTTACTCAAACTTACCTAAAAAATAGCCAAACACGTACAGCAATAAATAACGTAAATAATAAAACAGTAGAAAGTTTTGTAAGTGATCGGCTAGTTTGTGGTCCAGATAGATCGATAGTCTACCAGTAACAGTAACGTACTGTATCACAACAGAGAAATTTCTATAGGTCTAATAATAATCAACTAGCATAGGTGTTTCCATAGTTAACACGTTCGCTGCGAGAATCCCATTGGTGGGACGGTCGGAAATGTGACGCAAACTCGGTGCGCCAGCAAATCATTTCACAAAAAAAATTTGATGAAATTTTGATTTTTGGGAATTTTTGAGAAATTTTTGACGAAATGAATTAATTATATCCTATACAAATATATATAATTAAAATATAATTTTGGGGAGAGAGCTGGTCTAGTGGTTAGAGCGCGGGAAACCTCTTCAGTCCAAGAGGTTCCCAGTTCAAATCCCACCAAATCAACAATGTTATTTAAGTATTAATTATTTAAGTGATAATGCCGCAACCCCTAGGTCTAGCCTAAAGTAATGTGAAAAACAATCCCAAGCTCGTGCCTAGCGTCCTAGGACAAAAAAATATTTTAATTTAAATGGTTTTTTGGCGTTTGGGGACATCAAAGCTTGAAAGCAATTCGCTTAACTTAAAAAAAAATATTTTTGACAGCAGTTTCTTAAAATTGAAAATTGAAACCAAAGTCTTCTTTTTTCAGCCTCCTTGGGCTAGATGGGAGCCAGAATTGGATTTGTTTCTTCGCCTAATTCTTTGGAAGGTAATATTTTCTTTTTACATTCACCCTGTAGTCATAATACTCAATAAAGATGGAAAGGGATGATGAACTGACCTCTATTTTTGCCCCAGTACAGTAGAGAGAGTCTACTGGATGCAACCTAACTTAAAAAATATGCTTTATTTAACTAATTTTGTTCAGAAGATTCATGGAAAGTTAAATAGGAACAAGCGATTAATGTAGGGCTGAAACTAGGATAATGAATCACAAAGTAAATGACTGAACGGTACAAGCCTTACTAGTTGAATGTTGCTCTTCATCACAATACAAATTAAGCAGTGCCAACCTAAAATAAAATAAATGCATCTGGTTGTGTCGCTTACACAACAATGTTTCTGAGTTTGATTGATTATATATCAGATTTTACAGTATTCTCAATTCGGTTAATATGTATCAAAGTAAAAAAATTGAATTGAAATCTTAAATGTTGAACTATTAAGTCGACTATAGCAATTTCAAATTGTCGCAGCTGTCAGTGTATGAAGCAGGAGCTACATTTGGCCAACAGTTGTTGAGTATAAAATACAACTCGGGATTAACGAGACGCAAGTCTGTAGCATGGGCAGCTCTCGCCTTCGGAGTCGGTTACCTTCACAAAAGGTCTTCAGAGCTGACGAATGCAGTTGCTCCTGAACACAAGGATAAAGTGAGTATGAACATTAATGTGTTTTTCACCACACTATGATGTTTTTAGCTGTTTTACATACCTTAATTGCTAGCTGAAAGCTATGTTTTGCTGGCCATTCCAGCTGTCATGTTATTTTGGGGACCGAGCAGGTTTCTTCACGTAACCTTAAAGTTGTAGTTGTGTTGACTGTTAGTGTACATATTATTGTGGTAAATAGTGGTAATAGGGTATAGTGTGGTGAAAAATAGCGTTTGTACCACGGACGGAAATGGTTTTGCAGTTCTCGATCGTTTTAAAAACTGTGCCAGCAAAACCTCATTTTCGGCCCCAGGTACAAAATATACTATTATAAAATAGATAAATGATAAGGTGTTATCAATTGGAATTTTTATGTAACTATTGGTTTTATGTGTAGTATTCCAGCATGATTTTGGATTACCGAGATTTATGGATGAAAACATCTTAAGATAAGTTGAAAAAGGGTACAACTGTTTAGAGGTATTTCCTTGCAAATTTTTTTGGGACCTGCAGACCAGACTTTTTATTTTGTTAATTTTTATTGACTAAAGTGATTCGGAGGCTAACATAATGATGTTTTTTCTTCGTGTTGGGTCGGGTCAGATAAAAAAATGAAGTTGCTTTAGGAAATTGTGATTTTAAAAAATTTCAATATTTATTTACCCTACACAATTAGTTTATACAATATAGTCTCAACTCAAAAATGTCGGCGACATGCAGACCCCTAAAATCTTCCAGGAAGTGCAGTTAAGAAACAAGAATAAGGGAGTCCTGGATGTAAATCTATTTTCTAATCAGGTCTTATACTCTTATTGTAGGTAAGAGAATGGCTGGGCAGGTTAGAGGCTGGTGTCCAGGTAGCCAGGATGTTGAATTTGCTCATGTTCCTGAGGGAAGGCCAGTTTCCAGACCTAGTCGACAGGATAGTTGCAGTAAAGCCTGTAGCTGCTACTCCTGCCAACAGGATTGTTGGCTATAGCTACATGACCAGAGAACTGCTATGGCATGGTTTCATTGTAAGTTGAAACATATTTCATGTTCATTTTTTTCCTTCCAACTAGTGTAAGTCTACAATCACCTCATAAAATGTGGATATAAAATAACGGGAATCATTTTCTAAGAGCAAACTGTGATCCTTCTTAAGGCCAAACCCCATATTGTCTAGTTGTCTGACATCCACCATCCACATTCTGACCAGTTCCTCGTCACTAGGTTGCTTAGTTAGGATACCTTCGTTACTGGCAGATCTTGTATTTGCCACTTGTTGGAAGAAGATGATATAATTTAGCAATAAGATAATCCACACCCAGGACGTCCTTCAACAACTAAAAAAAAAAACAGATAAAAACTTTGAAAAAATAGGCAATCTCATTTATCAAAGTCGTTGAGTATCTTTCAGTTTCTTACAATTTAAGAATCGAAATGTACCAGTTTGACAAACATTTCAATATGGGAAAACTGTGCTCTAATATAGTGCCTTAAGTCATAGGCGACACTTCAATATACAAAATTATTTTATTTTTATGGTATAGCCTCTGGATCACTGATTTTTACAATAAAAGGTTTAAATTACCTGTATCCGTCAAGTGATCCTAGTTTGTAGTTAATTGACTACAGCCGTTTCATGTTGTAAAAACACATCTTCAGGTCAAACGTATTTACATTAATAACATTGATTTAATCCATGGAATGGTCGTCAAAGGTTTTAAGTTCACAAAAATAACACATACTTGTACACAAAAACATTTAAACATAAATTGGCCAACACAAAAATATGAAAAAACGCGTAATAGGCATCGGACACGTACGGCGCCGCTAGAAGGTAGGTCATGACTCAAAAAAAAAAATTATTTGTTTTTTAAGCTCTTCAAAATGAAAAAATTAATGTTTTGAGGGTCCAAAACGAGTTTTGTAAAGTGTTGTTTGTGTAACGTAACGATTTATGTATTTACAAGGTTTATACTATTTTTTAAAGTGAAATTCCAGGTATATCCTGGTATTTAAAAGTTTTTCAGGTTCCGACGTGAATTTAGCTGTATGTAAACCAATTCAAGGCCTCCAGCTTAAGTTTGTTCCCTTACCACATTTTTATATAATTAATTCTTCCAAAGTTCAGTGAGCTTAAGTTGCAAAAATAATAATCCCTAATATCATGATTACTATCATAGTCATCATCACTTAATTAAGGTCAAGAAAACATCATCTCCCATGATAGCGGCAAAATTCTGAATATCTCCCGCTGTCAGGTGGTCATCATCATCGGCTCCCGCGGTCATAAAATCGTTATCACAGTCTTCTCCAATCGAGGCGCACACGTAAATTTTCCGATCGAACGAACTTCGCAAATTTTCCGATCGAACGAACTTCGCAGACGATTTTACGATCCGATTGTAGCTCGGCTTGAGCTCCAGTTTTTGACATTGTGCACAATCTTGTGAGCTTGTAGGCCAGGCTCGGTTTGGCTTGAAAAACATGATGATTAGCAAACAATATAGATATACTGAAGTGTCATAGTCATGATGTCATGCAGTTAGTACTGTTATCTACAACCAAAAACCGTTTGCTTTCAAGTATAGACATAGGTAATTGGTATCATAAAAGTACCATTTTATCTAGTGTAAATTGGAAATCAAGGGGGGGCTATAGCCCCTGCTAGCCCCTCTGTGGATCCACGACTGGTGCCATTTAAGGCCTAATAATCTTCAAGGTCAATTCATTGTGAGTTATTTTGTCTTCCAACATTATTTAATATTAATTTTGATACTTAGAATTATATTTATGTTTATTCCTTAACCACTTCAATCTACAGATCAATTTTCTCATAGTTTTACAAAAATTGGAATTTTTCTGAGGAATAATCCCAAAAGAGACTTGAACAATACTTTTGACTGTATTTATTGATTAAACATTGTTATTAGGTTTAAATTAACATTTTTATAATAGGTTGGTTTATCCGGCCAGGGGCTTGGTCCCGTGGTGGCCGGATATGAGGGGCTTTACTGTACTGAACCGACTGGGCTTAAATTTTACCAAAATATAGATTCTATACGGAGGATCCGTTTAGAACTGTTTACACTTCAATATTTGGCTTTAAAGTTCTGATGTGAGGATTTTAAAATTAATATTGATAGGTCTACATGGCTGCAATGAGAAAACTCTCAATGTTTACATTTGCTATGACATCTCAATGAAACAAGCAGAACTGTCAAACGAATTTCATTTTTCAATGCTATTCAGCTAAATTAAATGTAATATTCGGCAAAACCATGTCGTGGTAGGTTTATTTATTTTAAGATTATGGACTTTGATTAAGGACTTAAGCATGATTCTATAGCTATTGTGTGTTACACCAACCCTGTACGAAGGACGGATACTCTGATAGTATAATAATTGATTATATCCAAAAGTGTTAAGTCTTCTTGAAAGTTAAGTCTGTTAATGTCTGGTCTCAAGAATTGTAAAATTGTCTACAATTCTGTTTTCAGGAATGTATAGTGTTTCTACTGCCACTCGTGAATTTCTCCGCACTGCAGCGAAGTTTTCGTAGATTGTCCGGCCTAGGGAGGCCCAAAACAGCACAGCAAGGGTCGCTAGTTTACACAACTGCCACTAGATGTGCTGTATGTCAACTCCCTCCCACTCTACCCCATCAAATGGGGTGCGGACATGCGTTCTGCTACTACTGCCTGCTGGTGAGTATGATTGCTGGTCCCAAATTTGCTTAAAGCTACATTGTGAATTTTTGTAAGAGATACCATTGTTTTACACGTTTTTATTAGCTCGTTTTCTTGTCTGTTCAGTAAAGATTTTGCAATCGATTTTAAACTTACTTCCTAATGAGCTAGAGACTTGAAACATAGCTCACAAATGGATGAGCATGCAATCTATTATATTATTCAAGTGATACAATCAAATTTTATGTAAACGGTTAAGGCCATTTACCAAATAAAAATATAGACATGTGGCATATCAAAATGAAGCTAAGAGTGTGTAGATTTGCCGAAAAGTGTTGCTATGGACGAACTCCCTAAGAGCCTTGCATGTTTTGGAATTTAACGTTATTCGAATTTAGGGAACAACAGCTGGCCAATGCAATTGACAATATAGTTTATTGTTTGTTTACATTTTTGTTTACTTATTTTATTAACGATGAATATGAGATTAACAAACCATGTATGTTGTTCGTTCCAAGAAGTTGTCACCGATCTTAACAGGTCGCCATTTCATTGAAAAGTATTATAGCTATTTACATTACAAGTGTAGTAAGAGCGTTTTTACATCACACAGGTGAATGTTGTGCAACTTATTATAGCATAATATATTATAGCATAATTATCCTAAGTGATGTAAACAAGCTCTTGCGTAACGCGTAACGTACAAGATTTTACCTGATCCGACAATATACAGGAGGTTACGAACATTATTTTTCATTATCCATTTCACTCATCTTCTAACAGTAACGTTCATTTACAAACAAAAGCTAGGTTAGGAAAATTCTTCAAAGCATAATAATAAAATTCAAGCCCACAGCTGATTTCTAGCGTTGAACGTCGTTGGCTCCATAAAGGTATATTTTTTAAGTTAAGCACTCAATGTTTATTTAAATGGGTTTCATTACCTCACTGAGTGAGTTTTTTCAACTTTACATCACTCGTGAAGTAAAGAAGTAGTATAGATCACGCTTGGGATAGAGAAGTTTACCATGGCGGGTTAGGTAAAAGTATTAAAGACGTCGTGAAAGAGAGCGGTGAGTTCAGGTACAACCGTACCCACCTCGGCCACATTAGGACGTAAGTCATGAAGGTTCCACTGCTTTTAACATCCTTTAAGATGACAATTTCTCGATCTTGGGCCCTTTTAATGAAATATATTAAGTCAAAATTTATTAAATTAATTAATGGTGGCTTCTGTACACCCGTGAATTCATGGGTAGAACCTCTTGTATTAAATAATTTTATTTAAATATTATGATTTTGGTGAGGATCTATATATTAATTTGAAACTGTTTTTCTTTGTGACAGCTATTTTGAGAGAACGGCTAGGCGTAGAAACTCGGTAGAGGTGTCTAAAGAAAGGTCATGGTCTGTAGATGAGCCATCAAAAGAGAAACATGGAGAATTCCCTCCGGGCTCTGCCCCAGTGGCCTTTAAATTCCCATCCCATGTTATTCTTATGGAGGAAAACAAGGTTTTTGTCACAGCTAATTTGAGAGAACGGCTGGGCGTAGAAACTTGGTAGGGGTGTCTAAAGAACGGTATTGGTCTGTGAGTGAGCCCTCAAAAGAGAAACGCGGTAAATTTCCTTGGGGCTCTGTCTCAGAGGCCTTTAAAGTTGCCTCTTCAGATTTGTTTGCATTATGACCATATGGATAATTTTACACTACACTTTAATGAACCAGCTGTTAATATTAAAATTGTATTCAAAGGTCTACTGAAACTGTCAAAATTAAATGTTTACATTATTATTTATGATTTTAAATGGATTCTCCACTGCATGGCAAGTTTTTTATAGTTTCAACAAAATTATGAGTTTATGATACGTTTTATATGTTTTGTTCAAAAATCTATGCTTTATTGCTCTTAGAAATTTTTAAATTATGAAATAAGTGTGATATATCAATTTCAAAGGAACATATAATTATTCCTTATCGGGTTAGCTTATATATATATTGTAAGGTTGGCACTTGCCTTTTTTTCCTACTTTCAATCACCATTAATTTTAGCGAATTTCCCTATAGGGAAGTAGCTATTACCGTAGGTCTCATGGTAAGACCTAGGCCCGGGACCGATTTACTTTTTCATTTTGATGTCCCCAGAGGCCAAAAACACCATTCGTTCAAATTTTTATATATCTATATATAGATATATATATATATATATATATATATGTGTCCATCCGCACGATAACTTGAGTAATTTTTGTCCGATTTTGATAAAATTTGGTTTGAAGGTGTAAGGCGGGATAAACTCGAACGAGTTCGCGAACCAGCATGATCGGACTATGGGAACGGGGGTTTACGGGGGGGTTTATGGGGTAAAAATAGGTTTTTCCCATTTTTGACCCAAAAAAAATAAAATTTTGCAAAATCTTTTCAAACCATTTTGTAGAGCTTAAAAAAACAAATAATTTAGTATATTGAAGTGTTACTATGCGCTTAATGGTTACGGAGAAAATTCCAAAAAAATGTAAATTTTAAATTCCCATGTTATTCTTATGGAGAATGAGTAAACTGTTGTAGTTTGCTTGTTTATGAACATATTTTGATCAAATTTGGAAAATGTTTTTATTTCTTACTAACTATTAACATTTTACAAAAAAAGTTTTACCCTCCCTGATGCAGCAAACCTAAGTACCTGTTAAAATAATTCTATTTAAATAGGAAATAAATGTTAAATTTTTAAGTAGACATTTTAGTGTAAATCCAATCAGACATATGGAAATTCGCTTAGTCTGCAGGTTTGCTGCGGCGGGGGTATTTAAATTTAAGAAAGAACACCAGATATTCATTTATTGGTATAAAAGTTTTTGATAATCGGGTTGAAAATTGTGTCATAGATGAGTAAGTTTAGGATGAGAGCTGTGTTTAAGTTTTGGAATAGACTAACTACGGAGTATGTTCCATGTATGGTTTTGGTGAAGTAGGTGAACTAATGTCAATTCAGGTATATAAAAAAAAATGTGTACACGGTTTTTACTTTGATGTACACATGTAGCTAGGTCGAACAACGCATCTAAACCTCACTACATACAAAACATTCGGAAACACAACAGTGTCATCACATCTCATCGCTTTTGAATAATTTGTTACCAAGGCTGGACTAAGTTATGGATTTGGTTCCGCAAATGTTCAAGATTTGTGATCAAATTTCCTACAATTATGGTTCATTCCATCCACGAAATACATGCACAGCTTTATGTGATCGATATGGCCAAGGCAAAACTACCCCATAAGCAGGGACATATTTCCGAATAGGCGGACTAGGCGCCCGCCTAGGGCGGCAAATTTTAGGGGCGGCAAATTTTGAGAGTAAAAAAATAAAAAAACGAAGTTTTAATCTAAAAAATTTTTAGCAGATAATTTTGGGAACGGCAAAATAGCCATTTCAAATATTTTGATTAAGTATACAACTATTTCAGAACGCATCCAAGTCAAATAAACGTCAATAGTTTACACAGCTGTGTAGAGTTGTCCGTGCTGCCCTATTGGTCTGGCGGACACGCTCGCCGCGGGAGCGGGTTGCCGTGCCGGCCGCTATGTCTAGTGACAAACGTAGAAAACACTCCCTTCTGTTTACTTCATACACCACTACGCAGTGGCAGCACTATAGCTGAAAGATTCTTCTTTTGCTAGGTTAAAATCAAGAAGGAAAGTGTGAACTAAATACTTACCACTGTACCAAACTTAACTAATTTAAAATTGTATATTATTTCTTTCAGTAAAAGTACATAAATTTTCTTTGCGATTCATGTGTTTTTTGTAAGAAAAAAATAGTTTAAGAAAACATATTTCTTTCATTTCAAATCAAAGCCAATTGCACGTCTCTCAAGTGGATCTGACTAATAGTGTTCAATGAAAAGCGTTATAAGAACCATTGTATACAGACGATTTTGTGTGCCGTTTAAAGCCGCAAAATGGGATTGTAAAAATACTGATTGGATAAAAAAAATGGTGCATTCCGTGTAGGCCTATCCAAGTCAGAATGTTTTGCAAAAAAAGGCACAAAAAACGTCCGTTAAAAGGGGTCGAAATAGTATATTTCGTACCTAGGGCCGAAAATGAGGTTTCGCCGGCTCGAGATAGTTTTTAGGTTCGAGACGAAGTCAACCTAAAACGATCGAGAGCTGCAAAACCATTTCGGTCCGTGGTACGAACGCCACATTATACCTTAATAGCACTATTCACCACAATAATGATGCACACTGATAGTCAACACAACTAGAACTTTAAGGTTATGTGAAGAAATAATTTGAGGAATCAGCAAAAATTAAAATAAATAGTTGCTAGGCAGCGGTGACAATAAAACAATTCTATTGCAATGCTATGGATACTTATTACTTATTGTGTATTTAATATGCATTCATGTTTAAAAAAGTAAGCGATCAGCTGATTTTGCGGCCCTAGGGATGTAAGAACCTGCTCGGTCCCCAAATGACGTTGACAGCTGGCATGGCCAGCAAAACGTAACTTTCAGCCACCAATAAACGCATGTAAAACAGCTAAAAACATCATAGTGCGGTGAAAAGTTATTAAATTTGTTGATGCAGCATGCAATATTACCGATTATTTTTCCACAAAACCAGCTGACAGGGCATGTTTTGGCCATTGGGGTGATATTAGTGAGGTCGGGGAGTGCGTTGAAAAGTGGGAGCGGGAGGGGCGGCGGCAAACTTTGTTGCCTAGAGGCTGCAGATACTTAAATACGTCCCTGCCCATAAGTTAATGAATTATCAAGTAAGAACAGGATGATTAAATACATGGGTCGATGTGGCAAGAGAACGAATTAAAATTGCTGAGATCGAAGTAAGAATGTTACTGCTTTCTGGAGAATCATATTTTTTTATTCAATAAAAAAAAACTAATTTAATATGATGATAGAATTCTGTATTTTCATGACCAAAGATGAAGATATACTTATAAATCCGGATACAATCTGAATGATTTTCCTAAAGCAGATGGAATTAGTGGTTAGTAATAAATATTGACTCTTTCCGTAACATGATAGACTAATTATATGAACTCATTCTCCCATATAGTGAAAGTGGCTTTGGCATGAAACAAACTCATGAACAAACAATTATAAGACTCATAAAAAACTTTTGGGCAACCTAAAGCCGATAAAACGGTAGGAAATATTGTGTTAAACGAATTCATTAATCACGTTTTTAAGGAACACAATCGTCATACTTATTATTGCTTATCCTCCCTTCATTTAACTAAGATTTTAATGACTTCACTCTATCCATCGCAGTTAGCTGAATTTACATAAAACCTCAAGATTAACCGTCGATTTCGACGGGGTTCCACTAGTCTATATATTAATTTGAAACTGTTTTTCTTTGTGACAGCTAATTTGAGAGAACGGCTGGGCGTAGAAACTTGGTAGGGGTCTCTAAAAAAAGGTCTTGGTCTGTAGATGAGCCATCAAAAGAGAAACGTGGTAAATTCCCTTGGGGCTCTGCCCCAGTGGCCTTTAAATTCCCATCCCATGTTATTCTTATGGGGGAAAAACTGGTTTTTGTCACAGCTAATTTCAGAGAATGGCTGGGCGTAGACACTTGGTAGGGGTCTCCAAAGAAAGGTCTTGGTCTGTAGATGAGCCATCAAAAGAGAAACGAGGTAAATTCCCTTAGGGCTCTGCCCCAGAGGCCTTTAAAGTCCCCTCAGCAGATTTGTTTACATTATGACCATATGTATAATTTTACACTACTTTTTAACGAAACAGCTGTTAATATTTAAATTGTGATTTACTAAAATTGTCAAAATGAAGTATTTGCAAAGGTTTTTTTCTGATTTTAAAATTGATTTTCTTCTGCATCGTGTCATGCTTTGCAATATAATGTTGTAATATTGTAATGTTATAATGTGCAATCCAAATCAGTGGAAAATCCTAATATCACAGTAACTCTTAAAATTATTTCTTATGGAGTTAACTTATGTCTATTGTATGAGTTGGTTTCTGCCTTTTTTACCACTTCTTGGAGATTGTACGTAGGCGTGTTGCACGTAGATGATATTCTTTGCGTATTGCATCTGTAGACGATACTTGGGTTGGTGTAATTATTACAATGGAAAAAAGCGAGAAATCCTGGACAATGTGATATAGGCCTACTAAAAATAAAACTGAATTAGAAGAAATAGAAATGATGTTTTTTTTTTCTTCATTTATAATCGTTTTTATAGAGAACCTAATGCGGCTATGAGTGGAAAACATTTGTAGAAAACTCTAAACAACAAGATCAGCTTTTGAAAAAAGATAAGATATTTACAAACAATTTTGATTATATCTAACTGTGTACATCGTAAGTATTTCCATAATCTTTGAGTCGACTTTTATAAAGTCATCGGAAATTATGACCGTCATTCGTTTTGAAATAATGCCTTTAATGCTTTGCAATTGCTCGAATTTGAGCAACAGGTACACTAGTTAATTAGTAAAGGTAGAAGAGGACAGGATTAAGTAAGTAAGTAAGTATTAATTAGTAAAGATAAAACATCTGTTTACAGTTAAAAAAGGTTTTGGTTATGTGTTGACATATGGACAGTGTTATGCAAAAAGAAACCAAGTGATATGGGACATTTGATTACATCCCACTAATTATACATCCCAATAATTATATATATTTTTTTGTTAATTGCCAATCAACTTTTTTAAAGACTGTACATAATGTATTTTTACCATTAAATATTTCTTACATGCATCTGTCTTAATCTGATATAGACGCTTAAAATGGATTTAACATATTTACACATTAAAGACTAAGAAGTAGAAAATAATTTATAGGCCCTAAATAAAAAAAAACTTTAAAATACCACATTTTCAATCACACTAAAATAATTAAATAATTTATTCTCTCCTCATATAGACTAGGTGAAACCCGTCGAAATACTGTTAGAGGCCTCCTCATTTATATGGTCGTGTGGCTTCATTGGCAACAAATAATGCAAATGAAATAGCAATGTGGCATTTCCAAAGAGAAAAACATACTGTAAATTGGCTGTTACGTAAATATTGACGTTTACATGCATTGTTAATCAACAAATCTTATAAACGATAATGTGATCTAGTTTAAAAGGAGTATGACCTCTCAGGGCCGTCCGAAGGAGGGGGGGCAAGCTGCCCGCAGCTGAGGGGGCGCCGCGCAGCGGCTATTTGTATTAGTATAGTATTAAAAATATGCGAATGCAACTATTACTGGTGGGGAGAGGGGGCGCCACAACCACGTTTGCTCCGGGCGCCGCCAACCCTAGGGACGGCCCTGTGACCTCTCTGTCATGACAGTAGCTGCTTAAATAGTATTTACTCTTACAGCCAAAATATTGTGTTACTTTCAATAATGTTACCAACCCAATGGGCCACGGTCCGTAATATAGGCCACTGCAAATAATTTGTCAAGATAGGTAACATTTTAGGCAAGGTTTTTGAGTTTGGATGTTTTTAGACACGATAAGAGCACACTGAACTTCTTTTGCAGATGAATAACTGTTGGAGAAATAAGCCGAATCATAAATGTCACAATGCGAGTTTGAGCATTTTGTAACTATATGAGGAAGTTGAGAAATAAGCCGAATCATAAATGTCACAATGCGAGTTTGAGCATTTTGTAACTATATGAGGAAGTTACATATTATTTTTTAGGCTGCCGCTCAGTGGACTTTAAGAATATATTTTTTAGAGATAAATTAAATTGTTTTTGTTAATGAGTAGCGCTAGTAAACATGCACAACCCTTTTTTCGTTAGTCTAATAACATTCAAAGGGTCTCTAAGAGTTCAAGGAAATAACATTGCAAATACTTCCTTTGGACAATTAAGTAACTCTCAATAAATGTGTGTTGTAATACAATTTAAAAATTAACAGCTGTTTCATTAAAAAGTATTATCCACATGGCCAAAATGTAAACAAATCTGTGGAAGGATCTCTTAAAGGCTTCTGGGGCAGAGCCCTAAGGGAATTTACTTAGTTTTTCTTTTGATAACTCATCTACAGACCAAGATCTTTCTTTGGACACCTCTACCAAGTTTCTACGCCCAGTCGTACTCTTAAATTAGTGGAGACAAAGTTACTAATTAAATATTCAGATTCCCCCATGTTAATCTTATGGGAGAAAACCCAACTTTGATGGATCGGAAAACCCGAACTAATAAAGATTTCAAAAACATAAAAACACTTTGCAAAACTACAGATCAGGGCACTTTAATCATCAAAATCGGTCCAAAAATGAGGGAGGAGTTCTGTTCACAAAAATCTGCTTAGCGTATTATATATATAGATTCTCTAGACAATTTTAGAGAGTTTATAAATTACAAGATGGCTCTCTAGACCAGCCATCTCTAGACAATTTGTTATTGTAAATATGTCGTAGCTATGAAAATACGTGTTTTAAAACAAAAAACTTGGGACGCATGCAATAGATATAATAAAGAGGGGGTAGCTGTCGATAGGAAATTAACATATTCACACAATACATCCAGCTTGTATGATTTACATCTATTTTTCCTAATTAATGTTAAAAAAATTGCTATAGGTCGGTCGCTTAGAAAACGACCTGCGCAAAATTTTTAGCGCATGTTGGGGAGGTAACAGAGAGGGAGGGTATGTTCCCCTCTCTGCCAATGGCCGTTTTCACACTGCACGACACCGACACGGTGCCACCCCGGTGTCATGGGAGTTGGAATCCTGTGTTACCAAATGGAACTGCTTACACAATGATATAATAACATTTCATGATGCTCAAATATTGATGCAATTTAGGCTATACAATATTTTTTGCAGGACCTATTTTTCTCAAGTTATGAAGAACGTAATTGTTTACATTTTGATCAGCTGTATAATTTAATTGCTGTTAATATTTAAGCTGCAATTCAAAGAAATGAATGGGAAGGTTGGAGGTGGGGCGGCAGCAGAGTGGGGGAAGAGCCATAGTTTGTCTCACTTCCACAGCTCGGTATCTCTCTCTCGTACCAATGCTACGAGGAGGACGCTTTCTAAGCGGCCGACCTATAATAGTTCAATAGGTGAGATTCATTGTAAATTAGCTTTCACATGCGCCCCTTGTTTTTTGTTTTAAATGTTACAAGTTTTTCATAGCTTCAACATATTTACAATTTTGGAGAGAAAAAGTTGGTATTTTAAATTTTATTTATTATTTTTTTAGAAATTGGGATGTCCACAGGTCCTGGATATCCCAAATTTTATTGCATAACTTCTATTATTCCACTCAAACCCGTCTGTGAAAATAACCCCACAGGTCATTAATAAATTATAATAATAAGTTCATAAAATAAAAATTGCTGATTTATATTCATTTTGGAACATGAATAACTGCAATTTAAATTAAATACGAGTACAATGCATGACAATTTACATTTATGCGTTGTTTGAGACTAGTTTTACAAACGAATCTTCAGGCTTTGGAACTTATACACCAAAAAATTAAAAAAATTACTTACATTTTCTACTAGTAGTGTTCGTTTCGGAAGATACCAAGAAATAAAATAACGGTCAATATCTTAAACGAGATAAAGTCTGTGTCGTCAACGCCTTTTCTACTAATCTCAACCTATATCAAACCTATAGTCTAACACTGAATATAGTCTGTACCTACTTTAATATTTTTGTTGATAACTTTTTTTAACCTAGTATTTTTGGTATAAGCTACATAAGAATAAACGCCTCAATGTGTACTAGTGGAAAAATATATTCTCTCCACACCCTCTCTAATTTTATTGTACTAGCAATACAACACATGGTTTTTATGCCTGTGATTCACATTCACTGTGCAGTACAGGAGATAATCCTGCTTTAAAAATTACTGTACTGCAAACCTAATTTTATCAAGGTTTTTGTAGCAACTGTCTTGTGATTCTTGTAGGCCTAAAAATATTTTTCTTTGCTGTAACTTGTACCTTACAGATTCGGATTTTGAATTAATTTATGCCTATATTAGAAAGAAGTGTCAGTGTTTTTGGGCCTTTATTGAGTATCGTCTTTTGGGCCCCTCATTTTTCAGGTACGTTAGCCGAACTTATCTCTTTCAAAAAAGTTTCATATTAGAAAAAAAAGTAAAAAGTCAAGGTGTGTTTTGCAGGTCTTGATGTTGAAATACGTGGCTCATGGCTTGCGTGTGGTGAACATGGGAAAATTGTAGTTGCAGTATATCTAGGGCACATTCTAAGTTAAATTTAACTTTGTTGCAGTCAAATCGGACGGCAGATGTAAAGTTTGAATGTCCATCCTGTGGTCATTCCACTCAAGATTCATCTGCAGTTCGTCCTGTTACGTCTGCACAGTGCAGAACCATATAAGCAGCACTTCCCATTGTGTAATGTAGATTCATGTAAATAGGCCCAGTTCAGTTTCATTAATAATTTTGATCCCGCTTAAAACATTTAAGCTGACTGTTGCTTATTTATAAACCTTTTCCTGTTGTGAATTCATCAAAATTCTTGTTTCTGGCCCCTGGACTATTTTACTACTGTAAGACAATAATAGCTCTTTACGTACCTCCGCCAAATAGTCCATTTATAAAGATTGCTTAGTAGCTTACGTGTTTCGTTGCAAAGACAAAATTCTCATAGCCTACAACTTGTCAAGAACACAATTCAAAGAAATATAAACATAAAAACGGAACCTATATTCCAACATTTAGATAGGGCTATCATGATACTGATTTAGACAGGCGCGGGGTTGGTAGAAGACAATGTCAATTCAATTGGGATGATGTCTGCTACCAATCCCGCACCGGACTATGTCAGTATCATGTTTAAAGATAAATTTGGAAAATTTATGTTTTGAGGGTCAAAAGTAAGAAAAAACTAATTTTACCCCTTAAAACCCCCCATGATCTGATCTTGCTGGTTCGCGAACTCATTCAAGCTTATTTAATAAAAATCAGACAAAAATTACCCAAGTTATCACGTTTACGGACGTATATCTATCTATACTATCCATCTCTGTACTTCTATACAGTACTATTAATTAAAAATTTAATGGTGTCCTTCTGTATGTGTGTTAATTGGCACAAAAACTATTGAACCGGCTGGGCTTAAATGTTTATAAAAATATAACTACTATACCAATTATCCATTTAGGACTATTCACACTTTGATACTAGCCGAGGGCTTTGCCCCTTGAGCTTTCTGAGGTGATGCTTTTAAAAGAAGGTGTGAGAAAGGATAGGATAAGCAGGCTTACCTTAAAAAATGTAGGCATCCCACTTCATTCACTACAGAACACAGAAGAAAACACAAACAAAACAAAATAAACACTGGATATTTCGAGGCCACTGGCCCCTTTCTCAACATGGAGAGTCACATTATATATTAAGAGTCTTTCACTCCATGCTCCACGAAAAATATTGTATATCAAATTCAATGCAACCATTGCCCATCTCAATACATTGGACTTACCACCACCAGTTTTAGAACAAGAATGAACAATCATAGTACAGATATAAAAAACAACCATCCAGAAAAACCAGTGCCTATTCATGCTACCGGCCACAATATGCAAGATTTAAACAGTTTTTTCAATTCAAAAATAATAAGATCTTTCCCTCCCACCTGTAACCCATTACAACTAAGGAGATGGGAACTCTCTTATCAAAGGGAGCCCCCAAACCTCAATCTCAGATAGGCCTAACATTTTCCTTTCCCCTTCCACACCTAAAAAGCAGGCTTAGACTAAGTGTAAATAAAATCAATGACTCATAACCTGTAAATATTCATTTGTAAATTCATAGTGTGTTGGAAACACTGCTTCCTTACCAGTGAAAGACTCTTAATATCTAATGTGACTCTCCATGTTGAGAAAGGGGCCAGTGGCCTCGAAATATCCAGTGTTTATTTTGTTTTGTTTGTGTTTTCTTCTGTGTTCTGTAGTGAATGAAGTGGGATGCCTACATTTTTTAAGGTAAGCCTGCTTATCCTATCCTTTCTCACACATATTCTCAGGCAATTAGCCCTTTCTCTCCAAACCTAGCTTTTAAAAGTAGGTATTGTTTGGTCTCCATGGCTGCAATGAGAAAATTCACCAGGTTTACAATTTATATTTTTGCTGTGTTATCTCAATGTGAATCAAGCAGAACTGTCAAATTGATTTTTTATCTATTGTAGGGATGGACGAGATTGGATTTTTAGTTCGAGACGAGACGAGACGAGATTTTTTATTTCTCAAAAAATTTCGAGACGAGATCGAGACGGGATTTCCCTTCTCATACACAACGGGAAATGCACGTTCGGAATTTTAACCTGATTTTGTAACATTGTTAGATGACTGTTTAAATACAGAAATAATGATAATAGGCAAGAATATTTACAATCTTTTATTAAAAAACATCAGCATAACATTTTTTTTATTAATCACGCCTAACTTATTAAAAATGCCTACGATTAGGAAACATAGTGATATCAGTTAGGATAGAGTTCAACTTATCCTAAAATAAAATAAATCATAAAATAAAATATTAATTTTTATAAAATAGTTACTTGTTTTGACTTTTTTATAGTAATAAAACATTCCTCACACTGCTAACACTTAGCAAAACTTCTCAAATGTTATTAAAATAATTAAAGTAATATTTACATTTGAAGAATTAATTAAATAAGAACGCCTTCGCAAAGGAAACGCAACTACAACACGCTCCTGTATTGCGGGTATTGCATTAACTTTCTGCAGGCGTTTTTAATTTTTGTTTTTTTTTTTTTTATAATTCTCGTCTCGATAAAAATCTCGGTCAAAAAGAAATCTCGTCTCGTGTAACGAGATTTAAAATTTCCCGAAATTTCGAGACTTGACCATCCCTAATCTATTGTCACACAGCTGGCTTATAGTAGATTTCTCATCCTTATGGAACAGCTGAAGCCAATTTTATTGTTACTTCTGTTACCAACTGTAGAGGTCGTGTTTTGTTTGCAGTTTTATTCTTGTTATTTAAGTCATTTAAAACCTCATTAAGCCGAATAAAACAATATAATCATAAACAATAACTGGTCTCCAAGCTATATAACCAAATAGTAAAGCACAAATCATGAAATTAACCCTAAAATAGAAACAAAATTTTGTCTACCCCAGCGATAAGTGTGGACGTACATGAACTAGACTCGAAAAACAAGCTTCAAAATTTACAATGGGATGAGGAGTCTACTTGTGTTGCTTAGTTATGCTTATAGTCCGTTCATTTCATGCCTTAAAAAATGGAAAAAAATATCTTGTAGTTCTGTAAATCGCTTTAAAATATCCTCCTAGGTGTCTATTTTAACACACCAAAAAGCCCCGAGGGTGGGAAGTCGGGAAATGGCCACCATTTTAGATGGATTTTATAGATGCCGGCCATTTCCCGACTTCCCACCCTCGGGCTTTTTTGGTGTTAACCCATTGGCGCCAACTTACGAGCGTTACTCGCCGGCCGACTTACGAGAGCCGCTCGTGTCACCGCTAGGCAGCGCCATTTGTTATTTAGTTATTATTATGTTTCGCCCTTTTTGTTTCTTCTTACTATTATAATGTTTATAAATATCTTGCTTCTTGATTTGCATATTTACTCATTTATTTTAGCGAATAACAAACAATTTTGTGTTGCCATGGAAACCACATATCACCAAAAATCAGCTGTGGTAAGGTAAACAAACAATTTAAAAAAAAATGTTATCTATAAGTATAAAAGAGGATGTTTGTATATATATTTGTTTGTTTGTTTGTTTGTTTGTTTGGCAGGGAAAAACTCGGACACCGCTCGACAGATTGTAATGAAACTTTCAGGCATTATTAAGCATTATTCAAGGAAGGTTTGTGTGAAGTTTGGTGCTGATCCGTCAAAAGGGCTCCGCCCCAGTGGCTCTGGAGTTTCCCATGTTAACCTTATGAGAAATGGAATTAATGAATCATAACAGCTGTTTCAATTAAACAAGTTGGTTCTGTTCTATGATTTTCAATAGCATTAAAGTTACATGGATTACCAACAGGGTGCAGCACTATTATTTCTTTTACATTTATGAACCAGCTAATTCGCAACCAAAAGGTGAGTGAGCGTAGCGAACGAACTTCAACCTGGAGGCGAGTTAGCGTAGTGAACGAGCTAACCTGAAGGCAAGTGAGCGCAGCGAACGAGCTAACCTGAAGGCAAGTGAGCGCAGCGAACGAGCTCCAACCTAAAGGTGAGTGAGCGTAGCGAAAGATCGTCAACCAGGACGTGATTGAGCCATGCGAACGAGATCATCTTGAAAATTAAACGTAACGGTACTTAAATTATAAATAGTCAAAGGCAAGACAACGTCTGCCGGGTTCAGCTAGTTACTTATAAAAGTACACAACTTTTGATTTTTCTACGTAGGGAATCGATTGAACTTTATAATAGTAGTGTTATTTGGTGTCTGGATTAATCTTGGAATTTGTATATCAAGTTTACTTTCAAAATATTGTTTTTAAAATTTTTATTTTTATAATCTTTATATATATATTTTTTTAGTTTAGAACTTTGACTATCCAATTACCACTTTTCTGTAGACAATTTTTCTGTGAACAAAATGGTGAAAGAATTATTAATTTATTACCTAAGGTTTTCTTTCTATAGCAGATAGAGTAAAAGTCTACAAATTCGGTAAAATTAATTGCCGCCAGAGGGTGCTGCAGGTAGTGCAAATTCCTTCCCCAATGGGTTAAAATAGACACCTAGGAGGACATTTTAAAGCTATTTCCAGAACTATGCGATTTTTTTTTTGTTTTTTAAGCATATTTTATATATCAAATGACTGTGCTATTAAGCAAATAAAATATAGCATAACATTCATCTTGTGGCAGGTTTATTATATTATGATTACGGTATAGACATTAAGGAAATAAGCAAGATTCTTTAGCAATTTATTGTCTGTATTAATCTAGGCACTGTCCTTGAGTTTTCAAAACTATTTTATACACAAATTAATTCTCCTTACTGTTACCTGACACAGTAGGCTTTCTTGTATTGATTATAGCACGCTAAGTAGATAATTGCTGCATTTACTTACTTTTGCCGCACTCCAGTATCAGTATTGCAACCAGAGGATAAAATTCAGTATGCATTTATTAGGCATGTAATATGTGTATCATTGAAAATAAGTTGGCAACACTTAAAGATACTACGACTACGATCAGCTGTTGCAGTGTTTCCAATTTTGTTCAATTGGATTTAACCTAACCTAAAACGTGATGTTTACTAATTATATCTACAAGTTTGGTTGGTTTGGTTCGGTTATGACAGTTTAATTTTATTATTAAGTCATTATAAAATTTTGATTGAGCAATTTCTAGTTTTATTTAATAAACAGAATTATTTTTTCTATTACTCTACTAAACTTTTGTTTTATTATTTCATTATCAGCAAGTTTGGTTAGTTCGGTTAGGTTATGATAGATTAA